TGGCTATTAGCCACAAGACATTTTGGCACCTGAAGTAAAAATAGTGCCCCCTCCCTGCCAAGGAAGAAGGAGTGAGTGAATATCTATATCAGGAACAAGACGGAAATAAACATCTCTCTATCTCTATTTGGCCTGTGAATGCAGCCACCTGAGGTGGTCACCTCACTTTGCCTCATGGGTGGGCCGGCCCTGGGACTACCTCCACTTTCAGAGGATGTAGGCTTATGAATACCTGTTGTTGGGAACCAAGAGTATGGATTTCCCACAGGCATCTGGCTGGCCACTGTGAGAGCATGATCCTGGTCTAAGTGGGCCTTTGACCTGACCCAGCAGGGTTCTTCTTATTTTCTTAGAATCATAGAGTTGGAAGAGACCACAAGGGCCATCGAGTCCAACCCCCTGCCAAGCAGGAAACACCATCAGAGCACTCCTGACATATGGTTGTCAAGCCTCTGCTTAAAGACCTCCAAAGAAGGAGACTCCACCACACTTCTTGGCAGCAAATTCCACTGTCGAACAGCTCTTACTGTCAGGAAGTTCTTCCTAATGTTTAGGTGGAATCTTCTTTCTTGTAGTTTGGATCCATTGCTCCGTGTCCGCTTCTCTGGAGCAGCAGAAAACAACCTTTCTCCCTCCTCTATGTGACATCCTTTTATATATTTGAACATGGCTATCATATCACCCCTTAACCTCCTCTTCTCCAGGCTAAACATGCCCAGCTCCCTTAGCCGTTCCTCATAAGGCATCGTTTCCAGGCCTTTGACCATTTTGGTTGCCCTCCTCTGGACACGTTCCAGTTTGTCAGTGTCCTTCTTGAACTGTGGTGCCCAGAACTGGACACAGTACTCCAGGTGAGGTCTGACCAGAGCAGAATACTATTACTTCCCTTGATCTAGATGCTATACTCCTATTGATGCAGCCCAGAATTGCATTGGCTTTTTTAGCTGCCGCGTCACACTGTTGGCTCATGTCAAGTTTGTGGTCAACCAAGACTCCTAGATCCTTTTCACATGTACTGCTCTCAAGCCAGGTGTCCCCCATCTTGTATTTGTGCCTCTCATTTTTTTTGCCCAAGTGCAATACTTTACATTTCTCCCTGTTAAAGTTCATCTTGTTTGTTTTGGCCCAGTTCTCTAATCTGTCAAGGTCGTTTTGAAGTGTGATCCTGTCCTCTGGGGTGTTAGCCACCCCTCCCAGTTTATATCCTTATATTAATTTAGCACTTCATGCATCTGGATGTCTCCAGACTGTCGCTATTTTGCAGGAGGGATTCAAGAACATACCATAAATTTAGGTTGGAGCAATTCAAGTGTTCTGTTGCCCTAGTGCAACAAATCCACTTTTAAAAAGAAGCAGACTTTTCATGGTTGATACTGATGGGGAAAGTATGGAATGAATGAACAATTAATGGGAAGGCAAATAAACACCACACAAAAATGAATGCAGGATGAATGCTCATTGTCGTACATCTACCCAGTAAACAAATCAGAATAAATGCTGAACGAAAGCAAAATATAGTTTAACCTCTGCATAAGCTTCGTGGAAGCAAATCAGGATGAATGCTCAATGAACAGGTTGTCTGGAGGAGTCCTGAATCCATGTCAGTTTTTGTTGTTGTTTAGTCGTTCATTCATGTCCGACTCTTCGTGACCCCATGGACCAGAGCACGCCAGGCACTCCTGTCTTCTACTGCCTCCCACAGTTTGGTCAAACTCATGCTGGTAGTTTCGAGAACACTGTCCAACCATCTCGTCCTCTGTTGTCCCCTTCTCCTTGTGCCCTCCATCTTTCCCAACATCAGGGTCTTTTCCAGGGAGTCTTCTCTTCTCATGAGGTGGCCAAAGTATTGGAGCCTCAGCTTCATGATCTGTCCTTCCAGTGAGCACTCAGGGCTGATTTCCTTCAAAATGGACAGGTTTCATCTTCTTGCAGTCCATGGGACTCTCAAGAGTCTCCTCCAGCACCATAATTCAAAAGCATCAATTCTTTGGTGATCGGCCTTCTTTATGGTCCAGCTCTCACTTCCATACATCACTACTGGGAAAACCATAGCTTTAACTATACGGACCTTTGTTGGCTTATTCCACAATAAATCCTTTCGACGTTAGGATGCCACAGTCTTTTCCAGTTGAATTTAAGGTTAAGGCTCGCTGCAACCTGGCAGCCCTCCTCAGAGGGACCACATCTAATGCAAGACTTTTGAACAGAAATCTTCCTGGGGGGGGGGGGGAACTAATTATAGGCAAGATGTGGCATTTCAACTCCTGCATTTTGGAATGTGCAATGCCCATGGATTTCAACATATCCAAACCTTTCTATGTGGTTCCACAAATTCTTCTTTCTCTTCCTATTGGTTAAGACTGTAATTGTCTCACAGCAGAAGGGAAACCTAAGAGTTCAGTTATACAAGAGGAAGTAGGTCCGGATTCCCATCACCTGAACACAGGTGGGGAACTAAGCAATGTGTGTAGGTCAGGGTAGGTTGCAAGCCCAACTTTCCTTCTGAGTTTCAAGGTCAGTAGCGCATTTTTTACAACTAATAAAGGCAGCCACAAGAGCTTATTTGTGCTGCTGCACCTCTCCTAATCTGGCTTGCTTCCCCCCCTCACCCATGTTGAAGTAACATTCAAGTACCTGTCTGTCAGCTTCTGTATGTAGAATTGAGAGGAAACACCATCTTTTCTTTCATCTCAGGCAGCGAAAGATCTTGGACCAGCCCTGAAAAAGAGAGAGGAACTGCAGATGGGAGAAAGGTTTACAGTGACTCCAGAGGAACATTTCTGTGTGAACTGGCCTTTAGGAGCCAAGTGTTATAAAATGTTCCAGATGGTGATTGGTCTTTTGCTTCTGATTATAGCCAGAGAATGGACAGAGAAACCTCCCTATATTGTTAATGTTGCAATGATTTCCCACAAATAAATTAATCAGCAATATTCAGAGCTGTGCCATAGACTCTTAAAACTGTCTTTTCTCCAGATACAGCCTGATTTTCACTATACTATACAGCTAAAGCATAATAGCTGATCTCTGATTTTAAGATATTTATATTGTTTAGTTTTGTGTATAATTGTTGTAAACCGTTCTGATATATTTGTGTGTGTGTGATTATGATACCGGGTTTCATAAAAAGTGATTGAATGATGTGTGGCAGTTTCATCCTCATTTTCTCACACTCACAATGGGTAAAATAACACTTTTGCATAAGGGAGGATTTTTATGAAATCTCAGTTTGTATATGGAAATCACTTAGATAGCAAGTTGGTGGTTTGAGCAAACCTCCTGTTTGCTGTAGTCAAAAAGGCAAAATGTTTTTACATGCTTCCTTTCAATGCAGTTTTCTCCTCTCTCCTGCTGTTTAGTCACTGCAATGTGTTCTGCCAGTGTATTAAACATTGCACTGGAAATATTCCAGGCTGCACTCAGGATGGCTTAGACATTAGGCCAGATGAGGCAGCGTGCCTCAGATGCTAGATGATTTTAAAGGGCAAAAAACTGTCATGAATTCGTTTTCAAATTACATTTTGTAATTACCATGTAAGTACCAGGTCACACAATTAATATGGATCTGAAAGTCTTGTGCAACTTTTCTGTGATCAGGAAGTGATGGGAAAATTCACTGGAAAGTGTGGGATAACTCTTGCTCTGATGCAACATCATCTAACCTCCCTACAAACAAATCAGGTTGACTCTTGTTAAATAGCTGGCTTTAGTCTAATCTCTGCAACTAAATCAGGATGAATGCCTAATAGAAATAGGTTGCCTTAAAGCACACACAGTTCACACTGCAAAATGTGGCCATTTGATAGCTGGGAAAATGCAGTATCACAATAAAAGAAGCACATATGCTAAAACTGGAACAATACAGAGAAGTTACAGGTAGGTAGTTGTGTTGGTCTGCCGTAGTTGAAACAAAATAAAAAAAATCCTTCCAGTAGTACCTTAGAGACCAACTAAGTTTGTTATTGGTATGACCTTTCGTGTGCATGCACACTTTTTCAAATACACTGTTTCAGTTGGTCTCTAAGGTGCTACTGGAAGGAATTTTTTTTATTCTGTTTTGAATACAGAGAAGATTAGCATTGCCCCTACACTATAAAAGAAGCAGTACCTTTGAGAAATAATAATAATAATAATAATAATAATAATAATAATAATATTTCTATGTCTGGACCCTTGCTACAATGAGCAATACAGAGATTCATGATGCAAAGGTATACCTATCTGCTCAGAAGTAAATCTCATTAAGTTCAATGGGAGTTACTTCCAGGGCACCGGGGTTATGCTTATTCTGTCTGTTAGATATTGCTCATAAACAGGGCCAGCCCAACCATTAGGCAGAGCAAGACAGCTGCCTCAGGCAGCAGATTTTGGGTGCCATGGAAAGACAGCAAATGGTTTGCTGCCTAATTTATTATAACTGCATTTTGCTACCATGGAGGAGGGGTGTTTGTGGGATGTTCTACCTCAGATGCTAACATAACTTGGTTGACCTTAGATGCTATGCACCTTGACTTTGGGTTGGGGAGGGGGCACCATTTCCTGCTGTGCCACAGGCAGCGAAATGTCTAGCGGTGACCCTGTCCATATAATATTGAAAGCAGAATAGAGAGCCATTTTTTAAAATTCAGTTGTACATTCTTGTCCATGTGGGCCTCCCATACTCTGAAACATAGTTTTAGCTACAATTCTTTAGTATCATTTGTGAAAAGACTTTGTTTTACCCCAAACAGTTTTCACTGCTAGTGAGATATTTTGGTACCAACAAGTCCCCACCCCCAGTTTCCAGGCATAGCTGTGCGCGTGTTTGTGTTGTGAGCATAATACCACTCCCTTAGCTTTTTAGGGAGGAAATGTTACCAAAACAACAGCTTTGAAAAGGAACTCTGAAATCCTTCAAGCCCTTTTGAAATACTTTATGAATCAACTGTAAAGTTGAGAGGAGGGAAGCAGAAGCATTTATGAGGAAGTTCATAACAGGAAGCCCTTGCTTGTGGGTTTCTGCAAGGAACAGCCTGCTAATCGACTCTGCCTGCCCACCCCACATTCTCTGGGCTGTTGGCTCCCCAGAGCTCACCTGTTTCTTCTGGAAAGCTGATAATTTGCCATGCAGATCAGCGTCTCTGCTTTCAGTTTGTGGAGCCGTTCTGGTGTTTTCTCTGGCCTATAAAGCATCTCTGGCTCCTGAAGCTACGGAGAGCGTTATGTGAGGTGATCTAGAGAGACAGGAAGGAGGCAGCTGAGAACAAGAGTCCTACGAGTCAGGATCTGAATGCCAAGATGTCAGTGCTTACCCCTATTTTGACCCCCCCTGAGGTGAAGGAGTACATGTCCAGAGGTGAACGCTTTATCAAGTGGGATGATGTGAGTACCGTGGTTTTTAATTCACCCTGGTTTGGGGCTCTTGAGAAGCAGGAAGTGGAAGGGTTCTAGACATAACTACCCAACTGTGTGAGTGAGTAAATCTCTCCTTCTGTGGTTGAGGGCAATAAATGAATGTTTGCATGTGGTAAGATTTAGGGGGGAGCAATGAGTGATGAGTAAAAAAGAGGAAAACTATGCAAAGTAATTATAAAGTTGTGGTGGGCCCACTCCTGCATTTTTATTGTGAGATATTATTATTATTATTATTATATTCCAGCCATCCTATGGAAGGCACTGCTATGAAGTGTGGAGGAATAGTATCTATCTATCATCTATCTATCTATCTATCTATCTATCTATCTATCTATCTATCTAATCTATCTATCTATCTATCATCTATCTATCTATCTATATCTATCATCTATCTATCATCTATCTATCATCTATCTATCATCTATCTATATCTATCTATCTATCTATCTATCTATCTATCATCTATCATCTTCTTCATTTAATATCTATCATCTTCTTCATTCTTCAAGCTTAACCTGTTGAATACCCAAAGTAAAACATATATCAAATAAATAACTATAAATATAACAGCATCAAACAAAGAGCAACAGGCCATGTTCATACGAAAGAGCTGATCACCAGCCAGTCGAAACAAATGTAAGTTTTGACAGTTCTGTAAATAACAAGTGATAAAGGTGAATCTGCCCTGCGAAGAATCACATTAAAGAGCCTGTGGTTCTGCAAGTTAATCCAATTATCTGTGAGATCTTTCAAAAGTAAGTCAACCACAGTCTTCGTATACGCTGCGTTATCTGGCACAAATGACAAATTCACCGTGTTGATCTATGATTAATATCAGTCTTTGAATGAATAGGAAACAACTGCATGTTTCAAATGAAGAATATTGGCAAATACAGAGGCCAGTGTGGTTCTTCTGCAGGTCCATGTACTCTAAGGCTCTGCAGCATCTCATAACCTTTGTGCAGAAAGCAGCATGATGTGGGGATGTCATTGTGCCACTTTATGTGCAGTAAGCCTAGCATGCTTTGGTGATGTCCCCAGACTATAAAAGGTCTTTAAAAGAGGGTGAGATAAATTCATGGAGGAGAAGGCCACCAATGGGTTCCACTATCAAAGACAGAATACCTCTCTGAATACCAGTGGCTGGAATCGCTGGTGGGGAGAGTTATGTTGTGCTCACATCCAGCTTACATGCATCTGGTCGGCCACTGTAAGAACAGGATGCTGGACTAGAGAGACCACTGGCTTCTTCCAGCAGGCTCATCTTCTGTCCTTTTAGAGGCCTCCAGTTTGGCACTGGGGCGATTGCATCATTAACCTGTGTTTCCTTTAGAGCAGGGTTGTTGAACCTCAGGACCAGGGGCCAAATATGGCCCTGCAGCCATCTGTTTTTAGCCTTGAGGTCTCTCACCAGCTAGCCCCACAAGCTTCACTGGACCTACTGCACACTCCAAGTGTTTTTGGCCTGGCTGGAATGTGTCCTTAAACTCTAACAATGCCTCTTGCTTATCTGGATAGAAGATACAGAGAGGCGTGTGAGAACGTGTAGAAATATACAGAGGCAAAGTTTACATCCATCGCTCCACTCCCTTTTGCCTCTGGTCCCACCCACCATTATCACGTGGCCCTCTGGAGGAAGCAAAGTAGGAAATGTGGCCCTTGGGCTGAAAATGCTTCCCTGCCCCTGCTTTTAGGGCTTCAGCTGTATAGAATATTGTCCCACATTGGTGACAATATTCATTCCCTGTTTTGGAATTCAGGTCAAACCAGAAAAATGTTTCACCAATGTGCTTTGATGCCCAAATGCACTCCTTCCTGTTTTGTTTTGGTGTTTGTTTGTTTTTTAAAAAAAACTGGTGTAGATTATATGGGTTCACGTATGTTAATTGGGACACGGGTGGCGCTGTGGGTTAAACCACAGAGCCTAGGACCTGCTGATCGAAAGGTCGACGGTTCGAATCCCCACGGTGGGGTGAGCTCCCGTCATTCGGTCCCAGCTCCTGCCCACCTAGCAGTTCGAAAGCACCCCTAAGTGCAAGTAGATAAATAGAGACCGCTTTCTAGTGGGAAGGTAAACGGCGTTTCCATGTGCGGCGCTGGTGCTGGCTCGCCAGATGCAGCTTCATCACGCTGGCCACGTGACCTGGAAGTGTCTTCGGACAGCGCCGGCTCCCGGCCTCTTGAGCGAGATGAGCGTGCAACCCTAGAGTCGGTCACGACTGGCCCTGACGGGCAAGGGTACCTTTACCTTTACCTTTACTATGTTAATTAAGGAGATGCCTTTGGATGACGTTAACTAATTATAGAGGGTTTTTTAAAAAAAAGTTATTGAGGACCTTTATATTATCATTGGGGACGCGGGTGGTACGGTGGTTTAAACCACTGTGCCGCTTGGACTTGCCGATCGGAAGGTTGGCAGTTCGAGGCCCCGCGACGGGGTGAGCTCCTCTTGTTCAGTCCCAGCTCCTGCCAACCTAGCAGTTCGAAAGCGTGCAGTGCAAGTAGATAAATAGGTACTGCTCTGGCGGGAAGGTAAACGGCGTTTCTGTGTGCTGCTCTGGCTTTTCCAGAAGCGGCTTAGTCATGCTGGCCACATGACCCGGAAAAACTGCAGAAGCAGACAAACGCCAGCTCCCTCGGCCTGTAAAACGAGATGAGCGCAACAACCCCAGAGTCGTTTGCGACTGGACTTAACTGTCAGGGGTCCCTTTACCTTTTATATTATCATTGCTCTTGAATTCTCAAGCAGAAGTTTCTTATTAACAGTGTAATATCCCAAGCCACTGTGGGTGGCAAAATCCAGAGGCAGGAGTGTAGCACACAATGCTTGCACTATTTGATAGCTTTTCCTTCAGCAGCCTTTCCAGCTCGGATGCTAAAGTGCTGAATCAGTCATGGAGGAATCTATCACCTGGCTGCTCCCTCAGGTAACAGCTGTGTCGGTTGTTACAAGTTTTCTGTAAGTGGAGATACTGTATGTCACTTGGAGATAGACCATGTAACTATGGCTTTAATGGTGAAACAGAAAGCTCTTAAGAGCAGGCTTCATCATGGTCATCATTCTGTGTGGTGGTGCGGTGCAGCTCAGTACATCTGAGTGTCATAGATATTTTAAGAACTAAAACCAGCTCAGAGTCTTGTATGATGCAGAACAAGGCTGATCACACAAACAAGGCGGGCACAGCTGTCACCTCTATCATATTAATTTCCACTCCTTCCCCATTTCCAAATCAAGGTGTTTGCTGTCAAAGACAACCAAATGCTGACTGAGAAGTTAGTTTAAACAAATACAATAAAACTGCAAAAACAAAGCAGTAAAACCACAGAAAACAGAAGCTGCAGCAAATCTACCCCACTAAAAGTCCCACGAATTGGATTAAGATTTCAGGATCTCTTCTTTTAGACAAGTGTGATATTTTGACTTCCACTTTCTCCTCCAGATGCTCTGAGATGAATAAAAGGGAATTGTAGGCAAGGTAGCAGCTCATTCACATCAGATCTGGAAAAGAAAGTGGAAGTCATTATTACATAGTGAAATTAGCAACTAATAAACACCTAAAAATAATAATAGCCACTTCAATTTTGGAATCCAGAACAAACTTTTTCTGAAGTTCTGTCCCATGCTTTAAAACCCTCTCCCCCAATGTTTCCCTCTCTCTCTCTCTCTCTCTGTCTCTCTCTCTCTCCTCTCTGAAAATCCCGCTAATGAAGAAAGTGAGGTGGCAGAATGGGCAGGAATAAGGGCAGCACAAGAATTCCACTCAGCTGTAGAAAAGTTTGTGCTGATTTAATGTGGGATACATTCCTCTATTTACCTTACAGCAATTCCTAAATGTATGTGGATAGAAGTCAACTTAAATGATAGCACAGGGGAAAACCTTAAATCAATCATAATCATAACCATAATAATAGCAACTAACATGGAGTCATCCAGATGTTGATGGACTCCAACTCCCATCATCGCTTGCCATTGACCACACTGTCTGGGGCTGATGGGAGTTGCAGTCCAACAGGCAGGCCCAGACAGAGGGGGAGCCATATGGGCCACTTGGCCCAGGCCTCCGATTCCAAAGGGGGCCTCTGTCAGCATATTCACAATCGCAGGGAATGCACTGGGGCAAACGCGGAGGCGTGGGGGGGGCACATTATCTACCTGGGGCAGGCCTCTGCCTGGCTCTGCAAGGCCCTGCCAACAGGTAAAATGTTGGCATCCCCTACCCTAAATATATGTCATCCAGCCCACCTCACGCAGCTGAAGTGACATTTCCTCTCCCTCACAGATATATTAGAACACATAAATGACAGTTTCTGAGCTATTTACTGCAGGGCCTTCGTTGTTTTCTTTTATTGTATAACTTGCTTTGATGCACTCGAGTGCAAAAAGGTGACTAATAAATACAAATAACAAACCAACCAACCAACCAACCAACCAACCAACCTATTTTTCTGGTTTTGTCAGGATACAGCAAGTGCCTCTCCTGTGATTCTGCGGGTAGACCCAAAGGGCTTTTATCTTTATTGGACTTTGCAGAGTAAGGTAAGTCCTGATCCTCAGTCTTTAATTGGAGATGTTGATGTCAAAAGATACCAGAGTCATAGAATCATAGAATTATAGAGTGTCATCTAGTCCAACCCCCTTCAATGCAGGAATCTCAACTAAAGCATTCATGACACATGAGCATTCAACCTCAGCTTAGAAATCTCTAAGGAAGAAGAGTCCACTGTCTTCCGAGGGAGACTGTTCCACTGTCAAACAGCTCTTACTGTCAGAAAGTTCTTCCTTAAGTTTAGGCGAAATCTCCTTTCTTGTAACTTGAATCCATTGATTTGGGTCCTCTGGAGCCGGAGAAAACAAGCTCGATCCTTTAGCCCTTTAGATATTTGAAGATGGCCCCCATATCTCCTGTCAGTCTCCTCTTATCCAGGCTAAAAAACCCCAGTTCCCTCAACCATTCCTCCTCCTTATTATTATTATTATTATTATTATTATTATTATTATTATTAGACTTAGTTTCCAGACCCTTGATCATCTTGCTTGCCCTCCTCTGCCCTCCTCCAAGTAATCAGCATCCTTCTTAAATTGTGGTGCCCAGAATTGGACATAGTACTCCAGGTGTGGTCTGACCAAGGCAGAATAGAGCGGTACTATTACTTCCCTTGACCTGGACACTATACTTCTGTTGATGCAGCCTAGAATACCATTAGCTCCCCCCTCCCCCACATCACACTGTTAACTCGTGTTAAGCTTGTGGTCTACCTACTGGCAAACCAGGTGTCCCCCATCTTACGTTTGTGCAGTTGGTTATTCCTGTCTAAGTGTAGAACCTTTCATTTGTCACTATTGAAATTCATTTTGTTAGTTTTGGCCTGGTTCTCCAATCTGTAACGGTAATCTTGCATCCCGACTCTGTCTTCTGAAGCATTAGCTACCCTCTTAGTTTGATGTGATCTGAAGATTTGATGAGCGTCCCCTGAAATCCTTTACCCATGTAGTTTATAAAGCTGTTGAACAACAACAGGCCCAGGGCTGAACCCTGCTTGTCACTCCCCCCCCCCCAGATGATGAGGAACCAATAGTTCTCTTTGGGTTTGAGTCTTTGAAGGGCAAAGCACATAGGTCCCATCTATGAAGCCCCCATCTCCTAAATCAGACCATTCTGTCAAGCTATCTAACCCAGTCCCAGACATCTTCTCTGACCAATTTTGCAAGAAGTGGGGAGAGGGTGAAGGTGTGCTTACTTTTTTCTCTGCTGGCTGTATCTCGGTAGTAAAGCATCTGCTTTGCATGGAGAAGGTCTCAAGTTCAATCCCGGCATCTCGAGATAAGACAGGGAGAGACCCCTGTTTGGAACCCTAGAGAGTCACTGCAAGTCAGTGTAGGTGACCCTGGGGTGGATGGACCAACAATCTGACTCTTTGTGAGGCAGCTGCTTCCTATGCAGCTGTGGTTTTCAACTCCAGGTCCATTCATGTGGGGTTCTAAGCAAATGTTTGCACATATGGTTGGGGGGGGACAGCTTGGTGACAGAAGAAAAATGGGAATGATCCCCTTTATTCTAACTCCAGGTGGGCTCTTCTTGGAGGCTTCAGAAAAAGCAGCCATAGCATTACACCTATCTTTGTATCATGCAAAGTTTTGAACTTATGACGGAGGTCCCTGACCCAGTTCTGCTCTTTGACATCCTTTCATCTGGAGATACCAGGCAGCCAACTTCTGCATGTAAGGAGGGTGTTCTGCTGCTGAGCTCTGGCCCCTCCCAAGCTAAAAGGGCATTAATTATATTTGCTGACTGACCAGCATGTGCATCTGGGGAATTCTGGAGAAAAGCAGTGAGTCAATGGAGAGCGGAAACTAGAAAGCTAACTATTTTATGTAAGGAGATGCTTCGTGGGAAGTGATGATGATGATTTTATTCTTAATTGTGTGAGAACATTCTTTTCTCATGCAGCAGTGTTCTAAAATATTAGACATAGGTCATTTTTTAAAATCCTATACAGTGGTGCCTCGCAAGACGAAAATAATCCGTTCTGCGAGTCTCTTCGTAACCCTATTAGCGGCTTAGCGGATTAGCGCTATTAGCGGTTTAGCAGCTTAGCGGCTATTAAAGGCTTAGCGGCTTAGCGGCTAAAAGGCTATTAGCGGCTTAGCGGCTTAGAAAAGGGGGGGGGAGTGGAAAAAATCGCAAGACTCACAAGACGTTTCCGCCTTGTGAAGCAAGCCCATAGGGAAAATCGTCTTGCGAAGCGCATCGAAAAACGGCAAACCCTTTCGTCTAGCGGGTTTCTCATCTTGCGAGGCATTCGTCTTGTGGGGCACCACTGTATTAAATGCATGAATATTTTAAATATGTTTATTTGTAATGGTGTGTTGTTTCACCACATTGGTGTTAGCTGTCCTGGACTCTCTTGGGTGGAAGGGCAGAATAGAAATGTAACAATAAAGGAGCATTGAATACCCCATGCCTGTTGACCACTTCTTTCTACTGCAGGCAACCTCCAAACTCACTTTTTCTCTCAACCTTATACATCACCTATGATGTGCCTCTAAGCCTCATAGGAAGCTGACTTATGCCAAGTCAGCTAGAAGCTTTGTCTACCCTGACTGGCTGAAAACTTTCCTATCAGCTGTTACCTGATCTTTTCTAACTGGAGGTGCCAAGGATGGAACTTGGGACTTCCTGAGTACAAACCATGTGCTCTTTCATTGAGCCACACTTCCTCACTTGGAAGGGACATCACAGACATTAATTTTGCACTTAACCTTTCTGATGCTCTGAATCTTTTGCTCCTGGTTTGCATGGAATTGAACATGCAGGGGGTAGGAAACACAAAGTACTTGTGCATCCTGTTCTCCAGTATCTCTGTCACAACTGGAGGTGCTACGTGTTCTTTAGGCATCCTCTTAGTCTCAGTTTCTCTTTGACACATCCAATTTAGCTCTTCCAAAGAGCCACTTCCCACTGTCACCTGGCCAAAGCATGTACTTGTTGTTCATTGCTTGTGTAAAAGTTGGGACTTATAGTAGCACTAGGTTGCCTTACATGGAGAGATGCCTTGAAGATTTGAGACTGGGGTAGATTAGTCCTGCAGATTTGGCAAAACAGAGAAAAGAAGGAACATAAGACCATAACAAGGGCCTGCTGGGTTAGGCCAATGTCTCATGGCATCTAGTGTGCTGTTCTCACAGTTGCCAACCAAATGCCTATGGGGAGCTTGAAAACTTGCCATGGGTTTCTGGATTTTTGGTATGTGGATACCAAATGGATCATAGAATTGTTGAGTTGGAAAGGATCCTGAGTGCCATCTAGTCCAACCCCCTGCAATGCAGAAATCTCAACTAGATCACACATGACCGGTGACCATTCAACCTCTGCTTCAAAACCTCCACCTTCTAAGGGAGACCATTCTACTGTCAAATAGCTCTTACTGTCAGAAAGTTCTTCCGAATGTTTAGGCGGAATCTCCTTTCTTGTAACTTGAAGCCACTGGTCCTGTAGCTTGAAGACCTACCCTCTTAAGCAGGAGAAAACAAGCTTGCTCCATCTTCCATGTGACACCCCTTTAGATAATTGAAGATGGCTTTCATATCTCCTCTCGGTCTCATCCATTCCAAACTCCTTCAACCGCTCCTCATAAAGCTTGGTTTCCAGACCCTTGATCATCTTGGTCACCCTTCTGTGCACCAATCCCAGCTTGACAATATGCTTAAATTGTGGCACCCAGAACTGGACATGGTACTCCAGTTGTCGTCTGGCTGAGGTAGAATAGTGTGGTACTACTTCTCTTTGGACACAATACTAGCCGAAACCATGGCTTAGATCTTGTGAGCACAGAAGCAGCATGAAGAGGAACAATCAGCTGTAATTCTAGCTCCATACACCAGCGCACTCCACATTTATTCCCAAACCAGTTAGGCTTAACTGTGGCTCCAAGTGATATGCATGAACCAGCCCAGTGTAAGGCTGTTTGGTAAGTGGAGCAATAATCCACATGAAAAGGAAGGCCATCTGTCTCCTTCTCCTCCATGAAAACTGAAAACGCAGTGAGATAAGCAGCCCAGTGGGGACTGAGAGCCTCTGATCGTTTAGTTCTGCTTTCTAGTTAAGTATGATACTGTGGTTTGGGGTGCTTCCTTCTCTTAATCACAGGAGTAACTGAAGCTTGAGAATAAGACAATAGCAGTAACTATGCACATTAGAACCATGTCAGGAGGTTGACAATTTGTCAGGTTTCACTTCCTCTTGGAAGACTAGAAAGTGGTAGAAGTCCAACAGCAGGGATCATTCAGTTTGTAACGTAAGGGCTAACTCTGCTATCAATGTCTGCTAACCAGATAGGGTGGCGGAGGTTTCCTTTGGCAACAAGGCAGAGTGGCATGATGTTTGCTGAGTCACCTCATGCCCTGATTGGCTATGTAGCCCTGAGGGAGCTATGTACAAGACCTTAACTAAGAAAGGCAAAGCTTCTCTGTTTCTTTCTCCTCAAACTATACACTGCCTTCATTCAATTTTGTTCTGCAACGCGTTATCAGGACATTTCTCTCTGAAATCTGTCTGAATTATTTAAGTGACTTTGCTGACAATAAGAAGATCCCAAGTGGACCAAATGACACACACATCTAGCCCAACACCCTCTTTTCCACAGTGGCCAACCAGATATTTCTAGGGAGCCCACCAGCAAGGCATGAATACAATAGCTGTAGCTCCCAAGCAAGTGATATTCAGAGATATAATTGCATTTGGACCTGGAAACTCCATTCACTTATCATGGCCAATAATCACTGATAGTTGTGTCTAGAATAACATGTCACACTAAATTGAAACATTTACCTTGTAATCATGTCAAGTCACACCCTTAACATGCTTAACAAACTACAGTCATACGCTTAACAAACTACAGCACCCAGAATTCGTTGGGGGGAGCCATGAGTGGTATCATAGCACTTTGAATGTGTGATGTGAATCTGGCCAGTGTTCTCCACCACACCTGAGGGGAGCTGGCTAGCTTAGGGGTGCAGGCAGGCCACATGTTACACACAAAGCTCTGACCTCCTGACACCTGGTTGCTGCTTACTCACGGCTCTGCCAGGTACTAGTTTGCTGCAGTATAGGGACCCTTTGAGTTAGGGATGAGTTTTCTAGAGAGTGAAGTGGGGCCTCTTGCACTCTGCTGCTTGTAGTTACTGGCAGATAGCTCACTAATTTGTCAACAGAAGAGATGGGCTTGTCTGAGGGTAGTGATAACTCAGGTGTCTCATTTGCCTGGAAAATTCAGTAGTCTTATGATTAGAATACTAAGCAAAATAAACAAATGTGGGAGTAGGATGGTGGTTTGTTTAATTCCACACTGGGAGGGGCCAGTGGCAGGCTGGTTTCCCACTTGTGAAAAGAGCTTGTAAACAAAGGTGAGCTCAAATGCTGTTGGGCAAGCTAACAAACAGTCCAGTTCCGAAGCCAGTTTTTGTACAAGGGGGGTGACTTTTTGTACAAATGTATAGCAGTGTACAAAAAGTTCCGTCAGAATGGTTTATCCATGTAGTTCTTTGGGGGATAAGAATTCTATTCCTATCCATTTTAAGGTGTTGCCAGATGTAACATTTGCACATGTTTGCCATCAGATTCCTTGGGATCTTGCATCCTGTGAGATGCCGGATTTTGAGTGAAGTTACTGGGCATTGTGGTGATTAACTTTCCCCTCCCCGTTATTTTCTCTCTCCAAATTACACACCTCCTGCTGCTTCCCCCTTCTAAGTTTTTCTTCCAGAATGAATGAAGTGAGCAATCTGGAGTGTGGAAATGGCCAGCAGGGAAAGGGTTACACCCACCCACCCTTCTCTGCTCACAAATTGAAGCGGCTTTTAAGTTAAATAATAATAATCAGAGCTCAGGCATGTGATATGCCATTTGGCCTGAATCAGCAAACGAGAATTGTGATGTTCTTGGAAATTTGCTTGTCAGCATTTGAAAATACAAACAAGGGAGATTTAGGCTTCTTGAGCTCCCTGCCGTTATACCCCATTATGAAAGTAAAAACCAAACAAAAAAGATCTGCATTGATGCAGATCAGTGGTGTGTTACATTAAAGCTTCCATCATTTGACTGCTGTTGCTAAGCAGTAACCAGGGAAGGCGGTCGTGCCCATGCTGATGGGTGCTAATGCCGCTGAGAGCCTGCAGACTTTGAAGGTTATAAAGTGCAAGTACAAGAAGGAGAAGAAGACTTGCAAAGCTATTGTGTGGGTTGCCCTGACCACTGTATTTGCAGCATAGCGTGAACCAATGATGTCATCCGAATGCATCCTCGGCGGGCTAAAGACCTCTGCAGAGGCAAATTCTCCCAGCAAGCTCCTCTTTCAGATAACCTAACTCAGTGGCTCATAACACTGCATGGAAAATGCAATGAAGGTTGAAAAATGCAGTGGTCAGATTACTGGCTCAGGTTCCGTTTAGATCTCTCATGTTTTAAAACACCTGTATTGGTTGTCAGTTTGTTTCTAGGCCCAATTCAAAGGGCAAACATTAGTATGTGATACTCAAAAGAAGACAGCTAGTGAAAGATCCAGTTGCCATTTGAGTATAATACACAAACGTTTCAGAACCGTCACCAATATTTCCACATAATACTCACATGAGAGTCACTGTAGTAGTTAAAGCTAAGAAGAATTCTAATTTTCTGCGAAGATACCTTGCATTTTATATAACACAGATTCCAAACATCAAAGTGATACTGGGCTAGCTGTTATGTTTTGGACATTACCAATTACTGCTTAGTAGTGGTAACATTCTCTGGGCCTGCCCCTAATGGAATCTGTTGAAAAATGGGTAATGTTTCATGCATGCTGTTTTGTACATTAGAAGATGTGATTAGGCTGCTGAGTAATGGGTTTGTGAATGCAAGTGCTTTCCTTCCTTTACAATTGCTCAGGACTTGAATGTTATTTTTTGATATTTTGCAGGAAATGGAATTTTTGGAAATTACAAGCATTCGAGATACTAGAATAGGGAAATTTGCAAAGATTCCCAAGGTGAGTTTGTGGCATAGTGTATAGGATTAGTAATTGTTATCCATGCAATACTCATTGGGAGATGCCATTGTAACTTGTTAATTGACTTCTTCCTCTCCTATTGACTGAGCTGTTCTTTTCATTTGCGGCAGCGAATTGTGTGTTTTGTAACACTGGACTGTATGAAATGTGTGACCTGTGAAACATGTATCCTTTTTTGCACTGCTAAATTTGGGAGTGGACGGTGGGTGCAAAATCTGAAAATGTTCAGGAGAAACTGCTAAACAGTGCTTATGTAAGAGGTTACAAAATAGGTAAAATCAAATGGGGGGAAAGTTTAAGTCTGGTGAATAAATGGGCATGCGTAGGCCCACATTTAAAAGAGAGAGAAAACATTCCCAAGAAAGCTAAAGTTGGTGCAAGCAATATCCAGTGTACATGGGGTGTTTTTTTTCAAACTCAGCAAAGTCCCACATTAACAAGACAACATCTCATAGTCCTTATTTTTAGGACAGAATTATACATGGCGAAAAACACAGGATTGCTGCAAAAATATTAGCCCCATGAGAGGTTTGTTCCCTTCCTTTCCATAATGTGTGGTTCCTTTCCATAATTTCGTTGTCCCCGAGAGGGGGCAATGACAATAAATATATTATTATTATTATTATTATAACTTACCTGTGATCTGGCATCAAGATCCAAAGGTGTGGAACATGCACATTTCCTGACAAGTGTAGTACTGTAAGTTTTGGTATAACTTATGGAGGAGACAATCTCTCTTTTTTAAAAATATTATTTTTATTGATTTTCCAAATTATTAAAAATCAAACCAAATTACTTAATACAATTTCTTAAAACCAGGTTTCCCGCTCTTGTTGCAATCATATGTCCAATATATTCCCCCATAGCTGTTCAGTTCTTATTTAGTCTCCAGTTGACATCCTTCACTTGCCATTAAACCATTCTTCCAGCTCTCCTCTTTTTCACCTTACAATCAGCGCCTCATTTTCCTCTTGTAAATATATAATCCATTTCACTTGTAGCCCTTCATGTACATTTTTGTTCCAGACTTGGAGTGTTAAAAGAGTTCAGTTCTTTCTTTTGTTGTTCAATTCTTTGCAGTGTTTATCTGAGTGGTACAAGGTCACATTCCATTCAGTTCCACTGTTATCAAACTGACATGTGAGCCACAGCCATAAATCTCTCACAGAGTGAACTTTCCAGACATCTGCCATTAAATTCCCCTCTGGAGTTCTTTCTCGGCACACAATACACAGCACATACTTTCCTAAGAATCAGCCTCTCTTCAGCAGCTATCCTGCTGCGGGTCATTTTTCTTTTTCCCTGCTGGATTTATCCAACAACACCCTGGTCTGGCAGTGGTGATGAATAAAATCCATTCAGCCTCGGTCAAGAGGAGGGCAGAGCAAAACCTTATTAAATTCCTTGTAAAGCATAATTGAAAAGCCCTCCCTCCTCAGGGGCATACGAAGAGGGGGCAGGGAGCAGTCCTCCATGGGTGCCACCCGGGGGGGTGACAAGATGGTCCGCTGCCTCCCCCCCAGCTGTAGAGTGGCCGAGGGTACGGCTCCATACACATGGCAGCCCGTACAGATGGCACTTGATCAGCAGTCCATACAGGCTGCCGCATGTGCGCTACTGGGTGGTTCGCCATGCCCCTCAGCGCCACGCCCCAGGTGACAGAGAGGCTTCCTCCGCCACTACCCCTCCCCGTTTTTGAAGCATCAACAAAGTAGCAACTACACATGTCTCTTCATCATAGGGGAGGACAAGAAATAGAAAGACCATTAGAAAACCATAAGAAAGTAGAAAGCTCCTTGTCCTCCCTCTTTCCTTTGAGGCTGTTGTAAGGATTCTCAAGCTTCAGAAAACATTCAAATACCTTCAGAAAACCAGTCCTGGTTATTTCGGCAGCTGATTGATTGCAGCCTCTTAGCATATGAGGCTTAGAGAGCGCCTCTTGATGAATGCCAATTATCCAAATTGAAGAGGAACCTTCCACAAATGGAGGCTCATCCATGGCAGCGGCACACTCCCAGATCACTCCTGTTCTGCCTTTCAAGTTGGCAGACACGGGATTGCGCCACACTGCGGGGTGCAGTGAACTCCCCACTGAAGAAGATCGAGAGGATTTATGCCTCATTTCCTCTCTTCTCCCTGCCTGAATTTCTCTGCAGCCCCTGGAGGGCTGTGGAGAACAACCGCCATTGATGGTGGGCATGGCCAGAAACAATGGAGAAGACAATCTCAACACAAAGCTGCCATTATTTTCTGACAGCTCTGAGCTTATTGTAGCATCTGACCCTGTTATAGTATTTCTGCAAGAAGTTCAATAATCTATGCTGGGGTGGAACATGTTAAACTTTTCAGTAAACTAGGGATGGGGAACTAGTGACTCCAGATGCTCCTAAATCACATCTGTGTCAGCCAGCACTGAGAAGATAAGAGTTGTAATCCAACAACATCTGGAAGGCCACAGGCTCCCCATCCCTTCTATAAACAGTAAATGAATAAAGTACTACACTATTCAATGAGTAAAGGGAATTATAATTTTTTAAAAATGCTATATTGGTTAATGTTTTCTGATCTTCAAGCTGAATCATTCCACTTTGAATTTCAAGCAAAAGGTTGACCCAGTTCTTGTTGTTTCAGGCAGGCAACTTGTCCTCCCCTCTGCATTCCTACTTGAAATTTTCATGTTTGTTTATCCTTTGCAGAGCCAGAAGCTCCGAGACGTTTTCAACCTGGATTTCCCAGACAACAATTTCTTTCTCAAGACATTGACTGTGGTTTCTGGTCCTGATTTGGTGGATCTCACTTTTCACAATTTTGTTTCCTATAAAGAAAATGTTGGAAAGGTATTCAAAAACTATAAAAGGGATTGGGTTGGGGCATCATGAAGAGTTCTGAAATTGACTCCAAAAGGAGTGATGGGAAGATGGGCAAACTGTCCACTAGTGACTTATTTTTCAAAGAGTGAGCACATGTTATTCACAAAAAGAGCAGTTTATGCTGCCCTGCTCCTCAATTATACTGGAAGTTTGCGCAAGCAAAAAGATAAATGGAGCTTCCATGCTGAGTCACTGAGAAAGCCAGTAAAATATTTGAAGTGCTGGGTTTGGCTATGAGAGATTAATGTTTTAATCCCTGACTGGCCATGAAGTTTGCTGGATGCTTTGCAAGACACACCTGCTTTCAACTTGAGAAAACAGGAATTGAGAAAATGATTTCTGCTTATTTACCTTCAGCTCTTTGGAGGAAAGACAGAATATAAGTTAATTAATAAATAAAACTTTTGTGGGTTTTTTACCTTGATGCTCTTTATTTATTATAGACAGGCACCTGTAAGATGTACTGAAGTGCCCTCTTTAAACAGGGAAAAGAATAATTTGTTCCACTAAAATCCTGATTTAAAGCTTATATACCAGAAACTAAATATCATTTATTTCAATGGCTGTCTAGCTGGAGGGCATCACTTTAGAATGGATAACAAGGGCAGAGAATGAACAAGTTCCATGTGGAACTTGGCCATAACACACTTGCTCAGCGGCACTGGAAGTGAGGGTGTTGCACAGTTCATTTTCCAGTCTTTCCATGTGTACACACATCTTGTTTTTTCAGGCTTGGGCAGATGATATCATGGTCATTTCTAGGAACCCCTTTGTATATAATGCTTCCCGCTATTCCTTCCTGGAGAGAATGTAAGTAGTTATCAAATAACTTCGTACTACCAAGTGTTTTCTGTTATTCCTTCAAATAGCATGCTAAAGTGTTGAGTGCCAACAGAAAGGGCGGCCACTGAGAAAGAAGGGATAAGACTTGGGGTGCTTATGGAAACCCTCAAGTTTGCAAAGTACAAAACAACGGTTTAAAAGTAAGGTGTCAGTGCCTCCCCCCCAAAGCCAGCCCAGTGAGGACAGAGCTATGGAATACTGGATGTCAGCTGGAAAAAGGAAAACTGAGAGAGAGAGTTGAATGTCCTGTTTCGGTCCCTTATGTCATATAGTGTCCCAAAGGAGGACTTGGCTAGCTAGGACCTGATCAGGTGATGATACACTGCAAGCATGTATCATTCCAACTGTTACACTTCTTTTGTATTTTGATGACATGAAACTAGTCATGTGCTGAGATGAGAGGAATGTACTATAAACAATTCAATCCAGAAAGCTTAAGTATGATATCAACAGAAGATTCTTTTTAGCATCATGATGCTAATTCTCTGGCAAGTTCCACTGACTTGTATTAATCATCTCAATATGAAATGTTGTTGCCTTTGAGTTTAGCTTGGGATGTCAGTAAACAAGGTGCCCAAATCTCAGTTTCAATTCACTTCACAATTCCCTGTGATTGCAAATGCGACGAGTCTGTGGAATTTAATAACTTTTCCAATCAACGTGGAATCAAATTTCAGCTTTAAATCTAACAATAATTCACCTCAGGCTTTTCTTATGGTTATCTTACTTTCCCCTATTGTTATGGCTACCATACTTCCCTTGTTCCATTTTTTTCTCTTAGCCAAGGATTGTCTATTTTGAATGTTTCCACAGACTGGTGAAGCTGAAACTGCAACTGAATAGTGAGGGGAAAATTCCTGTTAGGAAGTGAGTATGGCATGTGCATTGTGCTTCTTTTGACTAATGATGGTGTGTGACAAACTTGAATGACTGCACTATCGAGGGATCTTCTTGGACAAATTCTTTTGGGAGAGAATGCTTAGAGAGGTCCAGTGTGATATACAGTTCAGAGGGCTGAGGTAAAATTTACCAGGTTTCAAATCCCAGGACAAATCAAGCTGTTCTACAGCACTCACTATATGTTGTGAAACCAGGTTTGCCTCAACTTAATTGTTTATTTATCTGTTTATTGCATTTTTACTCTGCCTTTCCTCCAATGACCTTAAGGGGGCATAACAGTTTCCCCTACCCCAAGTATATCCTCACAGCGAGCCTGTGAGGTCACATCCATACCATACTTTTAAAGCACATTTAAAGCTCATTGCTTCCCCCAAAGAATCCCATGAACTGTAGTTTACCCCTAACAGAGCTACAGCACCCTTTAAAAAAACTATAGTTCCCAGGATTCTTTGGGGGAAGTTGTGTGCTTTAAATGTGTGGTGCACATTAGGCTAAGAGAATGTGACTAGCTTAAGGTCACCCACTGAATTTCATAGCTGAATGAAAATTTGAAACCGCCCAAGCCTTGAACAACTTCATCCCCCTGGCTTCCAATCCTAGGAAGACTCACTCTCTCTGGCTTCCTCACTTGTGGAAAATTTATAATAATAACAATTTTAAAATATTAAATCATCATCATCCAACAACAACAATAATAAGGATAGCAGAAGACAGGTTGCCATTTCATTTATCTGCAGAGGAACATAACTTGGCACCATTCAACATCAGATTGGCAAGAAAAAGCAAACATAGAAAAGAGGAGTAGGCACCTGAATTTATGGAGTCCTCAAAAACACTTTCATTGCCAGATGCCAGATTGCCAGAAACAAAGAACTGCTGAGGAGTGTGACACTTTGTCTCTTAGTGAGGCAAGTCATCTACTCTACTCTGCCAGAATTTTTTTTAAAAAGGGTAACGTGAACTGCTTGTCTTTTCTCAGTCACATTTGCTCCTAAAAGAAAAGGGGAAGGAAATATCAGATAACTATTGCTTATAGTTCTATTGCTATGGTTGGAGCCTATGCTGGATTAGTTCATGGAGGCAACTAATGGCCTCCATGTTGGGCAATTTTGCCATTTTCTCTCCACGGACTGCCTTTCCCACTGGAAGTTTTGCCAAATAGCTCTTCCCCAATAACTTTCGCTCTCACTCACCCTTTTCTATCTCTTTCAGTATTTTTCAAGCATTTCCTGCAGACAGAAAAAGGGTAGAAGCAGCATTAAGTGCTTGCCATCTTCCGAAGGGCAAGGTAAGAAGTATATTCTCCATAGCCTAGGGCTCATAGTCAACAGACATGTCTGCCCAACAAATTTATATTCATTTTATACCAGCTTATGTCTTCTTCCAAAGACTTTTGGGAATTGTAGGTTGGAAAGTTCTGTTACAGGTTCCTAACTCCCCTCACAATGCTGTAGTTCCCAGCTTCCTTGAGGAAACCGAATGGCAGTTAAACCAGTTTAATTCTATGAAGTATAGATGCCCATTGCTAACACAGCAGTAAAATAACTGTAAAAAAGTCAGTTTTCCAGAGAAAACTGCATTACTGTACAATATACAGTGTACCACAGTACAACACTGCCTATTTAGAGCTAAAATGCACATAGTGTTAAATGTATCTTTGTATTTAACTAGCTGTGTGTGTGGAGGGTGTGTGTGTCTGATGATTATTTGGATCGCAGGAACTGTGAAGAGAGAATTTACCAATGTCCAACTCAACAGATCCCTCTTGGTTTGTCTCAGCCTTGGAATCTCTTAGCTCAACCTCAGAAGGTATTTGTGTTCAGTGAGAGGTCTCAGTCCTAGAGTACACACACACACACACACACACAAAATGAAAACAAGAATGTGTATGAATGCATGTAAAGCTGAGTACAGTGTATTTATTCTTCACTACTGAATGATGTGCACCTGGCACACATTTATTATTATTTATTAAATTTTTTAGTTGCTGTATCTTGCCAAGACAAACCAAAAAGAATCACAAACAATCAAATGAACAACAACAAAACCCCACATAGATACACTGAAACCAAGTGATGGTGGAGGTAGAAATACATTTAAAGCACGCATATCTGGGCCTGGGCAGGGAAGGGCATCCAGGACAGAGGGCCCAACTTCCAGGGTAGGCTTTGGGCCCCTTCATTTTGGAAATGAAGTCCACAAAAGGGTCGATAACAGTCATCAAGAATTGCTGTTCTGCTTCCAGAATGACGGCATCAATCCAGAGGACTTCCCTGAAGCTGTGTACAAAACATTCCTGATGAATCTGTGTCCACGCCCAGAGATCGACGAGATATTTACCTCCCAGTAAGCCTCCATTATGTAGCAGCCAGCAGGTGTGGGAGAGAAGGGATACTGCACAGGCAAAGGGAGGCTGTGAGAACCAGCTGGAATTTTGCAGACTGCTCGATTGACAGCACTGTTACTTTTTAAATGAAAAAGTGGTGAAGGGTAGCAAGATTATCCCCATTCCTCCCACCATTTTGTGAACATTGGTCACTATCCAGTACAGAATTAAGTGTGCTTACGGTCAGACTAAATGTGAGCATGCTGTAAAGGTAAAGGTACCCCTGCCCGTACGGGCCAGTCGTGTCCGACTCTGGGGTTGTGTGCTCATCTCGCTCAAGAGGCCGGGAGCCAGCGCTGTCCGCAGACACTTCCGGGTCACGTGGCCAGCGTGACGAAGCTGCTCTGGCGAGCCGGCACCAGCGCAGCACATGGAAACGCCATTTACCTTCCCGCTATAAAGCGGTACCTATTTATCTACTTGCACTTAGGGGTGCTTTCAAACTGCTAGGTGGGCAGGAGCTGGGACCGAAAGACGGGAGCTCACCCCGCCGCGGGGATTCGAACCGCCGACCATACGATCGGCAAGTCCTAGGCACTGAGGTTTTACCCACAGCGCCACCCGCATCCCATCATAACTATAATGCCTAGTTATCCCCATAACTTCTACTTACACCAACATTGCAGTGCATGTTTTTCCAGCACCCACTTCATTCTACTGGATGACCGTTTTAGCATGATAAATCCCCAGTCCCCCCACATCTTGTAGTACTGCTGATACCAAATGTAAAGTATCGGACAGGGCAAGGGTATGAAGGAATTAGTCATGTCAAAACCACAAATGAGTGTTAAAGCTCATAAACTCTTTAAAAACCATATTGTCAGAAGAGCAATTTTCGCGGTCTGGTTAAAATATAAAGACTTACTGGAGAGCAAGACCCCGAGGTGGCTATCACCGGTAGAGGCCAAGGCTAGAAAAAGACCCAATATGGAGGCCTACTGGCCAAAATATTGGGAAATAATTGAAAAAACTGGAGACAATTGGAGGCTGCAGAGCCAAGACAAGTTAAAAGATAAGGTGCGGGACTGGTTACACTATGCTCAAATTCAAGAGGTGTTTAAAATAGATAAAAAAGTTGGTTTCCAAGTGGAAAAATCGAAATTAGAGACAGAATTGTTAGAACCAAAAACTAAGATATTATCGAAAATGTATAATTTGCTGCTTAAGTGGAATACACAGGATGAGACAGTTAAATCTGCCATGATAAAATGGGCACAGGATATTGGACACAACATTATGTTTGAAGACTGGGAAAGGTTATGGAACACCGGTATGAAGTTTACGGCATGTAATGCCTTGAAAGAAAACATTATGAAAATGATATACCGGTGGTACATGACCCCAGTCAAGTTAGCTAGGATATACCATCTGTCTGATAATAAATGTTGGAAATGTAAGGAGGCAGAAGGGACATTCTTTCACCTTTGGTGGACCTGCCCAAAAGTGAAAGCCTACTGGGAAATGATTTACAATGAGTTAAAAAAGGTATTTAGGTATACCTTCCCTAAGAAACCAGAGGCCTTCCTATTGGGCATGGTGGACCAGAGGGTGTCAAAGAAGGACAGAACTTTGTTTATGTACGCTACCACAGCAGCAAGAATTCTTCTTGCAAAGCACTGGAAGACTCAAGATATACCCACGCTGGAGGAGTGGCAGACGCAGTTAATGGACTATATGCAACTAGCTGAAATGACTGGCAGAATCCGAGATCTGGGAGAGGAAACAATGGAAGAGGACTGGAAAAAATTTAAGGACTATTTGCAAAAACATTATAAGTTGTATGAATGTTAAGAAATATGCACGATTAGGAAATTTTTGCTTTAGCAACTTGATTAGGTAAACTGAAAATTAAGACAAGAAAAAAGAGGTGGTAATATGAATCAACTTTATTATGTTAATTTTAAATGTACAAAGTTTGGGATATGAGATTGTGAATTTGGAAACATAATAACTGAAAGATACAGTAAGTTAAGAAACAAGGTAACAAATTGCTGAAACTTTTATTGCAAAGAACGCAGGGTCTGGAGGATGTGGGGAAGTCCACCTGGAATACTGAAAAAACTATTGAAAGTTGAACAGAAATAACCTTTTTTTTTGTTTTTTATTACCTCTTTTTGTATTTGTTTCTTGCACTTTCTTACTGTTATCTTGTGTTTATGAACCTAAGAAAAGAAACTCAATAAAAAATATTTATAAAAAAAACAAAAACCCACAAATGAGTGTAGGAAAAGTTGTCTTGCTGCTAAGAGAGATTTTCCAGAACATCTAAAGACACCACTCTCTCTTTGTCCTTTTTCCATTGTCTCTGCTTAGCCATTCGAAAGCCAAACCATACATGACCAAAGACCACTTGACAAAATTCATTAACAAGAAACAGCGAGATTCTCACCTCAACGACATGCTTTTCCCCCCTGCCAAGCCACAACAGGTACAGGGTCTCATAGACAAGTATGAGCCCAGTGGGATGAATATTCAAAGAGGTGAGTTTATTTTTTCCATCAGCAGAAGTATGTATCGTAATATTGTTGCTATTATTATTTCTATATCACTACAATTCCAGGGGGGGGGGACCCTAAATGGATTACAACCATCCTTAAAACATCAAATGTAACATTACAAAAGATCAAAATAAAACATTGCAAATGAAAACCAGATAGAGATGGTCATAGAAGTCCACTATTAAGGCAGCCAGGGATGGACTGCCCACAATGCTCAGTGAGGCAGTTGCTTCAGGGCAACAGGCTCAGGACAGCTGGGAGGGACAGCAGACCTGGGTCCCTGAGGAGCTCCTTCCCTGTCTCCACCTCGCCTTATCCCACTCACCACTGGCCTCCATTTTGGCCTCCTTTTTATTGGCGATGGTGGCAGGAGGTGGTAGCAGAGAATGAGAAGTCGTGGATGGTGCAAAGTCATCAAGGGAAGAGGAAGAATCTGTTATTACATGGAAATCTTTCAGTAGCCTGGGCCTAGGGCAGCTTAAAATCATTGGGAAACCCAGCCAGATGGGCGGGGTATAAATAATAAATTATTATTAATAATTATATTATTGGGTATATCTGACTAAATAATACTCAGAGTAGCCCCACTGAAATCAATCACTCATTGCTGAGATGGGCAGGAATATGCAAACTCAGTTCTTCCAGGCCCTTGTATTTTGTTATCAGCAATCGTAACATTTTAAAAATTATCTTGCAGGGCAGCTGTCTCCAGAAGGAATGGTTTGGTTCCTGTGTGGTCCTGAAAACAGTATAGTATCACAGGATAAACTCTTGCTGCACCAAGATATGAGCCAGCCACTCTCTCACTACTTCATCAACTCATCCCACAACACCTATCTAACAGGTATGCAGCCATGAGGAGATATGTCCATTTCTACTAACTGTTGTATTTCAAGAGGGTAGCTACTGACCCTTGACTTAGCTTTGTAGCTTACTTTCATTATGAAAACTGTTCATCAGGCCATGACTTATTTATCACTAGCAGGGAATGCCTGGCAATGTCTGGGAATTTATAGAAAGAAAAAATATTAAAATTTTAAAACAATTTTTAAATTTGTGAATGGACCTGTCACACCAGAAATCAGGCAAGGTCATGTTTTGGTCCGCCATCTTGAATCAAAATGGCACTCAGCATCCAAATATTGATGAAGATGGCTGTCCCTACCTTAGGAACCCTCATGTCAAGTTTGTTAATGAAGTGGCAGAACATGTGCTAAAAACCAGGTAAAGTCATGTCAAAAATCACATTTTGGTCTGCCATCTTGATTCAAAATGGCATCTGGCATCCAGATGTAGATGAAGACCACTGCCCCCATCTCAGCAACCCTTGTGCCAAGATTGGTGATGATATTTTGAAAGGTGTCCAAACAAATAGAGAACAGATGGACAAACTATTGTCCAAAATTCATAGTAGAATTGTCCATAACTACCTTTATTTATATGTATGACACTGGCTTGATTGTGCTGTAGATATTGCTTCATGTTCCTTTTACGTATATGCCCTACTTATTGTTATTTTTGTTTTGCTTACTGTCCACATGTCTACTTCTGTCTACCTATTCTGAAATAAGTTATATAACAATTCTTTCTTTTAAAAGGGTTTTAAAAACATAACAATTTTCAATACAACCCACAATTATATAGCAGTGTGTGTGTGTGTGTGTCTGTGTGTGTGTAAACAATATTTATAATTTCAATTATGTCATAGGTGAATTAAAGTTTTCTGAATTTTTGGAAATGGAGAAGTCACAAGTCATTTTTTAAAAAAGAAATAAAAGTTTTAAACATTTGTGTAGCAGAAATGAGTTTCCCTTCTCTTCATTCAAAAGATATGGCTGCATAGATGATGATGACAGGCTTATTTTTCCTCCTTCCCCCTTTTTTTTTGCAGCTGGACAATTTTCTGGAATCTCCTCTCCTGAAATGTATCGGCAGACCCTATTGGCTGGCTGCCGCTGTGTGGAACTTGATTGCTGGAAGGGGCGTCCTCCAGATGAGGAGCCTATTATCACCCATGGATTCACCATGACAACTGAAATATTGTTCAAGGTACAGATATCTTTAGATGGTTTTTTTTTTTACCTTTTGTTTTTAGAGATTTCACAAAATTTCAAAACGCAAATTTAAAAAATACTGAAAACATCAACATTCGTAGAAGAAACAGAAAAACATAACAAACCTAGTCAGATAAAGCAGATAAAATCTGTGAAAATAAATATTCTTTGCCTGGTGCCAAAATGACATCAGATTTGATTCCAGGTGAGTGTAGTGGCGGAGGAACCCTCTCCAACACGCGGGGTGGGACCTGGCGGCGCATGCACGATGTGCGTACGGACTGCGCATGCGCGGCAGCCCATACAGTCGCCGTGTGAGAGGCAGCCCATACTGACACCCATACAGATGGCGCACAAGAACGGCAGCCTGTATGGATGCCATGCGAGCAGCGCCCATACTAACTGCACGCGTGCCCCTGGCCACTCTGCAGCGGGGGGGGGGGGACAGCAGGCCATCTTGTCACCCCCCAGAATGGTGCCTGGGGCAGCCCCCCCCTTCGTATGCCCCTGGGTGAGTGTACCTGGATGAGTGTACCTGGCAAGGACATTAAAAAAATCAGTCCACCACCACTGAGAAGCCTCTTCCTAATAGCCACTCAGTGTATCTACCTCAGGCAATGGGAGAACCCAGAGCAGGGACTCTGATGAGTATTCCTATGCCCCACAAATAACCCAGAGATGCATTTTAAATAAAAGGACACATTCTACTCATGTAAAAACACGCTGATTCCCAGACCGTCTGCGGGCTGGATTTAGAAGGCGATCGGGCCGCATCCGGCCCACGGGCCTTAGGTTGCCTACCCCCTTCTCTATACTGAGGCCTAGACTGAGTACAAAGAATGTGCTGAGACACAGAAAGCAACCTTAGCCAGACATTAGGGCTCTTCGCAATTTTCTTATTGCTTTATTGGTTTGTTCACACACTCCCAGCCCCCATTTTCATTTATCAGTCTAAGAGCTATTCCTTCTGGCTTAGTCAGCTTCTACTCATCTATGCCATCTGACATCAAATTAAATACAGTAAAATGTATTTTCTTTGTGGCTTACAGTTATGAATCTACTTCCATGTCTTACAAAGTGGAATAGTTTTAATTTAACACCAAAGATAACCAATATAGCAAACTGAAAACCTGGGTCTTATGCAAACTCGGACCTCCAGATGTTTTGGGACTACAACTCCCATCATCCCTAGCTAAAACAGGACCAGTGGTCAGGGATGATGGGAGTTGTAGTCCCAAGACATCTGGAGGGCCAAGTTTGCCTATGCCTGGTCTTACATATGCAAGTTTAGTACTTAGAACATATACATCATTAGTGACCCAACTATCTGCTCAATGTCTGCTATGTGACCCAGAGTCCTGATGTCTACCTGCATTTTTCCTCTCCCAATTTTTTTGAAGACCTTGCAAAGCCTTTTTTCTGGATGCAAAAATGTGCAAAGCATATCTGTTCTGGCAGGCATATCCAGCTAGATTATAGTGGACTAGTACCTCCAACAGTAATTGCATCAGCAGGGAATGAGCAAAGATGAAAGGCCGTTTTCCCTTCTCCTACTTTAATGATTAGCTTCTCTATTATGCTTGTGGTTTTGGTGTTCATAATTTCACATTCCAGATCTTATGACATCACGGTCCCCTTTACACTGCACCACCCAACCTGCAAAACAAATAGAGTGCTATTGTGGTTCACTGGAGCTATAATTACATGGAAGGATTGCTCTGCACCACAACAATGAACCTTGCAAAGGAATTACAGGCCATTAACACAGCATGCACCTTTCATTATAGCTTAAGTAATGTATGTTTCCTCCCTTCTTCCTATGGCTGCCTTCCTCTCCGAAATAGCTGTAGGTGGGGGAGGTGACACTCTCCTGCTTTCAACCTGCAGCACATTCCTTTGAAATGCAGATTAAGTACAGAGGCACTGTTAACAGCCTCCTCCTAGTTCTCTGCTGCTTGTTCAATCAGGAACAGTTGCTTAGCAAGAGGTAATATCAAGTCCCAGGCCATGCTGAACCTTAGTAGTAACGCTGCATATCAAGGCTCAGCTTCCACAAAGAAGTCATAAAATAGCACAGTATACAATTGCACGATGTCACATAAGGGAGCAGAAAGAAGGCAGATAATTAGAGATAAAAGCAATGTTACTGTAAGCTACCAATTACTAGTGTCGGGAGGGGAATAAAGAAAAGTTAATGACAAATGCACAGAGGTTTCACAAAAGTATGATTACAAAATAAATACAAAAAGCTGAGAAAGTGTCTGTGGGATTTGTTTGGAAATCTTATCGTGCCTTCCGTTCGTGCATTTCCCAAACTGTTGCTCTCTGAGAAGTGTTTCATATCCAAGGGATTTGAAGTCCATGTATTTAAAAAGTTTAAAGTGCAAGCTCAACAAAGATGTGCTTACAGGTGTGCATGGCTCAGCATGCAGCTGTGATTGGCTGCAGGAGAACATGATGTTCCTTCCTGACTTTTCTAATGCTAATGCAAGGGCTAGGAAAGAATCTGAAGGATAGAACTGATGGGCAAGAAGAGGAGGTGCTTAACCTTGGCCTACTGATTTTCTCCAATCCACTCCAGAATTAAATACAGTGGTACCTCTGGTTACGTACTTAATTTGTTCTGGAGGTCCGTTCTTAACCTGAAACTGTTCTTAACCTGAAGCACCACTTTAGCTAATGGGGCCTTCTGCTGCCGCTGTGCTGCCAGAGCACAATTTCTGTTCTTACCCTGAAGCAAAGTTCTTAAGCCGAGGTAATATTTCTGGGTTAGCAGAGTCTGTAACCTGAAGCGTATGTAACCTGAAGCATATGTAACCCGAGGTACCACTGTACACGGTAAAATAATAGTTGCATAATGTCACAGAAGTAATGCAACAGGAGAACAAGAAGGCAGATAAGTTTGAGGGGTGGTGGGGTTTTTTGGGGGGGCTGTTCATGATTTAAAATAACAGAAGACCAAAGAGAATGAGCAGGGTTGTACACCCCCCCCGATCCAGAGTTACATTGACACTGTAAGACAGAAGCCACATATGATATCACAATGAACACGTGTGGCAAACTCTCAGTGGGATGCTGGCTCTGCTCCTGACCACCATGTGTTCAGCAGGATGCATACAATTGCACATGCATGTAGCAATACACACAAAAGGCTCTCTTTCTGAGATCACAAGCCACGTGTTTTCAAGGGTTCCAGTGGTGTAGAGGGAGCTCTATGGGAATGCTGTTGTATATGCAGAGGCCCTATGCAGATATCCAATGAATGCATAATCCCTCTGTCCCCTCTATGAATTCACTATGATATCTACATATGGACCATGGAGGGAGGTGTTCATGGTGAGTTCCAGCACCTCTGTTCACTGTATACAGTTATAGAAATGGGAGGCCCTTTAAAAAGCTTTGGATATATCATAAGGTTCATACAGGAATGACTGATGCCATTCTGAAAGCTGGATAACTACCAAGAACAAGGAGTTCCTTGGTTTGCAAAGTACCAATATCTCTCTTTCTCTTTTTCTTTTTCTTTCTCTTTCTCATTTGCCTCATGCCTTATTATAGGATGCAATTGAGGCTATTGCAGAAAGCGCTTTCAAAACCTCCCCTTATCCAGTGATCCTGTCCTTTGAGAACCATGTGGACTCGTGAGTACTAAGTGTCTACTGATTAGAGAAAAAGCTGAGATTTGCACTCTGGACAAAGGGTAGAGGGGTGGGTAAGAAATGTGTCTAGTCAGAACAAGGCAAAAAAAATAATTGCTGCACAATTAGAACCCACTTACCTGGGAGTCAGCCCCTTTCAACTCAATCAAACTTACTTCTTATAAGTTATTAGGATACAATGGCACAAGCATGGCAGAGAGTGGCAACATTTTAATTTGCATGGGACAGTAAGCTTGGGCAAACCATGCATATGCTAAGAGACAGGTGGGGATTTGGGGGTATGAAGCAGGGATGAGGCCAGTCTTCAGGCTTGACATGTGTGTGTTTTATGCCTATATTTTCTTACAGGCCGAAGCAGCAGGCTAAGATGGCTGAGTACTGTAGAACAATATTTGGGGACATGCTGCTGACAGAACCACTTGAAAAATTTCCAGTAAGTGAATAGGGATGTCAAATTGCTACATGGGATGAAGTTATCATGCAAGCAGGTGTTAGCTTGGTCTGAAGTTGCCCTGGCAGTTTGTGCTACGTCTTCACTAGAGGAGTGATGCAAAAACCTAAACTTTGCATGAATGCTAACCTTTTTCTTATCTTCTGGGCAGTTAAAACCAGGAGTCCCACTGCCAAGCCCACAGGATCTCATGGGGAAAATCTTGATTAAGAACAAGAAGAATCAGTTCATACCTGGGGAGAACCAAGAGACTCTGAAGAAAGCAAGAAGTCTGGAGGATATTGTGACTGATCAGCCCACACCAGTAGACAAGGATAGCATAGGTAGTATATTCCATAGGGATAGCCCTGTTAATCTTTCGCAGCAAGAGCAACAGTCTTGTGACACCTTACAGGCTAACAAATGTTATTACTGCATAAGCTTTCATGGACTAGAGTCCACTTCATCATATACAGGGTACATTATGACAAGGGATGGGCCTTACTTGGGGAGGGGGGTGGGAATTCAGATAAGCCTGGAATCAGTTTTTAAGGCTCTGACATAAGCACAATGATTTGATGTGGAAACAGAGGGCAACACTGCCATTTTAGGACAGAATTTCACTTATAAGAATGAGTGGCTTTATCAGTGACTTCAAAAGCGTCTCCAAAGTAGGTATGAGGAAGAGGAAATCTGATTCAGTTCTCACTTAAAGGTGAGCCTATAGACCTCCAGATTTGGTAGATGGATTGGGAAGGATGGAAATTGCAGTCTGAAGGAATTTCAGATCCTAAAGAAGATTTTAGACAAATAGCTGGCAGATCTTGGTTGTAGTCATAGGTGGCAACTCCATGGGGCACTGGGTGCCTGAACACCCATAAAATTCCCCATAAAGGGGCTAGACACCTACAAATTTCAGTGCCGGGGCCATGCACGCTGCATCGCACACATGGCCCCAGGCACCCACCGTCACGGGGCCAAGTTGGTACTCCTGGTTGCAGTCATCACAAATGAACTAATTTCTGTTTTGATTTATTAGTGAAGTCAGGTGAGGTGACTGAAGAAGTATCTGAAGTAGAGGAAGACATGGGAAACCTGGATGAAGAGGAGATTAAAAAGATGCAATCTGATGAGGTACAATTACTGCTCTCAGTTTAAAGAACTCTTGAAAAGTAACATGTTTTTGTTTTGTTTTTAAATCTTCCTACTTTCCTGCTGTTTGGTAGAATTGAGCTTTCCACATGTCCAGGACTGGTCCAAGATATCGTGCTGCCTGGAAGTCTACACATTCCCCACCCCCTGTTCTCTATGGGCCAATTAGGAAGTCCCTGTCCTAGCAATACTGCTGAGGCAGGGGTGCAGCTGCACCCCACCCCCCACCCATTTGTGCACTCCGGTCCTCATCCGACTAGAGAGATGCACAAAGGAGATAGCTTGCTTCTGCATATCTGTGCTTCTCCAGCTGGATCAAAGCCAACTATACTCAAGGAAAAAGATATGTGGTTCTCATTGACTGTTCTTCTGAGTTCTACCCACTACTTTCTGATTCTGTTTAGGGCTCTGCCTGCCACTGGGCTTTATCATTTTGTCTGTCTGTTTGTATGATATGCCTTTTCCTCTAACTGTCCTAATTTTGCTTAGGGTACTGCAGGTCTAGAAGTGACAGCATATGAAGAAATGTCCAGCCTGGTTAATTACATCCAGCCCATCAAATTCGAATGCTTTGAAAACTCAGCACGTAAGCAAAGATTTATTGTCTCTGTCCTATTGAATGTCATGTTTTCAGGTATTTAGAGCAAGATACTGTATCTGCATGCATTTAGATGTCACTGTAAAGGTTGAACAACACATTACATGCTTTTGGAATCCTGGAAGTCTTCCTAAGGTGGTGTGGAGCAGAGAAGGTGGCAGCCCAAGAAAGGTGTTAAATACCTCCCTCTTGCTGATTCTGTGCTCCAAATCACCTACTTCACAAAACTGTATTTCCTTGAAACAAAACAAACTAGTTGTTAAGGGTTTTATTTTAAGAAAATGCAGTTTTCTTAAGACTGGACAAAGGTGGTGTATCTGGAGGGGGAAGGGCAAATAGGCCAGGTGAAATCCAGAACAGGCATAGATTTAGGGCAGAGCAAGGCAAGGTGCAATAGAAAATGCATCAGGTTTGGAGCACAGTCATGCAGCACTAACCAAAGCTACTAACCAGCCTCCTAACAGATTATTCCTTCTTCCCTTTTATAGAGGTTATTAGGAGGCTAGAGTTGCAGAAGGAGGTGACCTGACATCCCAAAGCTACGCTGACCTGTAGATAAGTGTTCCTGGCTTGCAGCCCCTGAATCAGATGCTTTTCTTCAGTATGGCTGTGTAAACCCAGAAAATTTCCCCTGTACCTGGAATTACTCTGGTATCTGCCCCAATGTAATTGAGAACTGAAAGGGAGAAGATTGCATACTTGAAACCATATATCATGAGCCATGTTTTCATTACATCTGCCAAAGCATATCAAAAGATTCATGAGCTTGGGTGAACTATTGAGTGTCCTTGAAAGGATTTATGGAATTGATGGGAAGCCTGATGAATGCAGAGCTCCCCCCCCCTCCAAGTTTTGATTCCCAACTGATTTAGTGTCAGACAAAAATCTGGGGGCTTCTGAATCCTCATATTTTAACTAAATAAAATTGCGGACTGCTCTATGCTACATAAAACTCCTGGAAAAGAAGTCTGGAAATGGAACAAAGGACTAATAAAGATTATGCACTTACTATAAAACATGCTGCTTCTTCTAAAAATATTAGGCAACAATAGCTGATTCTATTCCAAAAAAGGACCAGCAGCTCCAGATCCTTTATACCAATTACTTCTAAGCCTTCTGCCCCTTTCCTGAATCTAGAGTACCCATTCCCATCTTCAATCATAGCAAAGCAATGGAGGTGGTCTCACCTTAACATAAGCAGAGAACTACTGTCACGCTATTGCAGAAGCCACACATGTGGCAAGGCCTCCTGAACTAGGGCAGATAGGTGGACAGGTTAAATGCATGAAGAAGAAAAAGAGAAAGTAAAAATAAATAAATGTCATGGACAGGTGCAGAAGGGACACCGTGGAACACTTTGCAGTGAAGTTATGGGCACCATCCCCCTAGGTTTCCAAAATGTGTCAATAGTCCTTCTTGCAAGAAATGCTGTTTACCCACAGATTTGATTAGCAGTTGATTACTGGTTACTCTCACAACCAAAACACTTGCTCAGGTGATACTGTCTGAGGGCTTCAATGCTGCTTAAGCGATTCCTTTGGGAAACAATCATGCAGAGAAAGGTCTTCAAATCAACCTCCATCAAAACCCAATAAATTTCTTACTACTCTGTGCCAGAGGTTCATGCATGGACAGTGTCTTTATTTGTGAATAGCAAGGGGCTGATAGTGAAGAAAAAATGGTAGAATAGGAGGATCTGGAACACTGGGCATGATTTATGTTTACCTTGCTTGTTCTTCCAGAGAAGAACCGGAGTTATGTCGTTTCCTCCTTCACTGAGATGAAGGCTTATGACCTGCTGACCAAATCGCCCATCCAGTTTGTAGAGTATCCTTTTTCTTTTTTCTTTGGTGCACCTGCAAGTGCACCTATTCACATATTTAATAGTTTGTTCTAGGTCATGTCACATGCAGCCAATCATAATATTACTGTCTGGAAACAAGAGGTTGTATCCAACGAAGTTGTCCTGTTTGCACAAGGACTTACTATGAAACTGAACATATCTATCTCCTCTCCCTGTGTGGTCCCACACACACACACACACACACACACACACAACGATTTGCTCTGCAGGATTTAGGGAAACCCCAGAACAGATCTGAGAATGCACTGGGGAGGAAAAGGGGACGCTCTGTTCACACAAGTGGAAGTCCTTGCATGAACAGGAAAACTTCAGTGGATAAAATCTACTGCTACCTTCCATGACTCAAGGCCAGTTCTCCAAATGGGTATTCCTTAGAACTATTATATATAAGGTGTACCTATTGATTTCTATAGGATTCGCACAGAAGTTGTTGTTAACTTTGCAGCACTGTGATATTAAACTTTAGTAAACCTTTAAAAACACTTTAGCTGTGTAGTGTTCTCTTCCAAGTGCTGGCCACAGCAATGTGAGGTGGTGGGGGGGAGTGCAGGGTTCACAGCAAAGTTTCATGTTCCACCAAACGAGAGCCAGGCAAGTCAAGGTAAATAAAAACTCCAGACTGGTGAAGCAAGGGAAGAGTCAGAATATAGGCAGCACCCTGGACAGCTCCATGAAAAGCTCATACTGGGAACCCTGTAAGAGCAAAACTGCCAAGGGCATATATACTGCAATAAACTTCAGAGATGGGACTCCTATTAGGAAAATTCAGCTACAACAAGAGGCAGATGAGCCGAATTTATCCCAAGGGTACCCGGATGGATTCTTCTAACTACATGCCTCAGATGTTCTGGAATGTTGGCTGTCAAATGGTGGCATTAAACTTCCAGACAACTGGTAAGTGGTGCACCTCCTATATCCCCTTCCTGTTCATAGGCGGTCAATAATTTTCTGACTCTTTTAATTTCACCACCACCACCTTCACTACCCTGCAATGTATAATTCTTTCTTTGCCTTTTCTCTTTTCTTTTCTTCATTTGTGTTCCTTCATTTATGTTTATTATTATTACTGGGTGTTTCCCCCCCATATTGGATATTTCCCAATATCACCCCAAAATGCAAGGGGTCAGCATCAAAGCTTGCCGCATTTAATTAGAGATCTTTCCAATGCAAAGTCTCCACATGTGCTGAAGACAGATGTTTATAGCCACAAAAGAAAGGGCTGCCAGCTGTGCAGTTTGGCACACCTGATTTTTGCCACCCCCTCCAACCTGCCGAAGCCCTGCTTCCTTCCCAAAACGCTGGTCCTGAGAGTTGGGAGAGCCTCTGGAACAGAATGGGGTGAGGCTGCAGTATTGGGGGGAAAGACTGGTGAAAATTAGGTGCCCCAACTTGCTCATGGAGGGGCTTTTTGCTAAATTAAAGCTACCTTTGGATATAATCCAGGTGTCCTTTCAAAGGAAGCAGGTGGGGTCAAAGGACTGCCTGTAACACAAATGAATCTGTTTCCTTTTGCCTCAAGGGCCAGTCCAGAGGCATCTGATAGAATATGGTGACCCAGAAATGAAGTTTCAACAGGCATTTTTTACATACAGAGATATAGATATAAAAGTGACCCACAGTGACTTACAAAATGATACAAACATTAAAGCCAAGTATAAAAAACCAGAACAAAACTAAAAGCTAAAAAACAACCCCACAATATATATAAAAAGGCAGGTCTAACACAGAACACAGCCCACCCTATTAAAAGTTAAACAAGAAAGAGGCCACAAGTATTCCTATTACCTAAAATCTGAGATTGATAAGGACAAATTGCCACAGGGTGATTTTTGTCCCTGATAGAAATGACTATATAGACTCACCCTAGGGCTCAGAACTTCTTAAGACTGGGAATATATAGGAAGCAGGCAGGGAGGGACATTGGAAAACAGTGGCAATCTCAATACTTCCTGATGGAAAGGTGGAAAGGCATGACTTCAGGGTGAGCACCTTAAAGGTAGGAAGCTAAATCAGCATACATAGAACAGTAAGTGGAGCTCATAATGTAATTCAGGCAGGAGGGCACTCACCTCTTTGGATATTGAATGGCCAGGTACAACTGAAGCAGAATTCACAGATTCTATTCAGGTGTGGGGTTTTTTGTTGTTGTTGTAATGGGGGAAATGGAGTATATATTGCGTATATTGACAGTACGAGTGCAGCACTTCATCTTGCCTACAGCAGTTACCATATGTTGCTGGTGCAGATGACATTACCAGATGCTTGCTGCAATGCTAATATAGCAAGTCAGAGCACATAAGGGATGCCTGACCTGCAGTGGATGTGTAATGTAGTGCAACATCTGTGACCTCCCTCATAGCTGCAGCCTTGCATAGTTTGATCTACTCTCATTTCACTGTGAGGAAGGGAAGGGGTTCAGTCTCCCTTGGAACACAATGGCCAGTATGACTTCTGTTTCATCTCTTCAGTAATTTTCCTTTCTTCCTTACACTCATGCATAGAAAAGCAGTGTTGTGTGATGAGGAGAAGAGTGGGAGGAAAAGGAAAGGATAAAGTGAACAGATGGGAACTTGCAGGGAGGCAGTGTAATAAATTTGGGAGAAAGGGAGGCAGGATGAATCAAAAAAAGTACACAAGAGAATGAAGGTGTCGATGGAATTGTAAGAGGAATGGGACAAGGAATGTAATGAGAAAGTGGACTGAGGTGTTCATTCATTTTAAAACTGGATACCCAACAGAAGATATTGGATACCCAATAGAAGTGGCAGGAAGATGCAGTTTCCTCATTATCTTCCGTTCTTCCTTATTAGTTTGATTTATTGTCCTATGTATCTCAGTGCCTGTGTGCAAACATCCACCGGCACTTTACTCATGAATGTTTTCCTACATCAGTATCATTTCCATTTAGGAGAAAGTTTTATATCATCACATGTGACAAGTACAGATGTGCTTCTTTCACCACATGTGTATGGTCAATTTGCAGCTTCCCAGCATGTGTACATGGAATGAAACAGATGTACAGCTTTCATACATGATGGTGCCTATATATATATATTTCTACACATAGGTGACATCAGTGTTAGAACATAATTATTACATCTATACATCTCATGAAGTAGGATGCTGCGTGGAGTTAACTCTGCAATAAACCAATTAGAATGCCATGGGGTTTACTCCTGAGTAGATGTGTGTAGAAGTGCACTCATATAAAGGTGCCAGAGCAGTTAAAAACAAATGGGCACTTTCAGAATCTGTGCTGGAACGTGGCCCTATAGTTGAAACTTGAGTAAGCCAACAGGTAACGAGATGGCTAATCCCCTTTATGTAAAGCACACTGAGGACTTTGAAATGAATATGCTGCTGAAGCACAATTTCACCTGCTTTTCATTCATACAGTACATACATACTAACAGACACTCCTGCCTTTGTTTATTCCTGTTGGCCTGCTCCCTTAACAGATATTCCCATGCAGCAGAACCTGGCTCTCTTTGAATTCAATGGGCAGAGCGGCTATATTCTCAAGCATGACTTCATGCGTCGCCCAGATAAGCAATTTGACCCTTTCTCTGTGGATCGCATTGATGTGGTGGTGGCGAGCACACTCTCAATAACAGTAAGTAACAAGTGCTAGGTGGCTTCTGGGTTTAGAGCCCTTTAAACAGGGGTATAGTCTGGAGGCCCATTTATCACCCAGCAAGGCTCTTTGTGGAAAAATGCACCTGCAGTAACCTGCAAAGTGGTATTTTGAAAAAGGCTAGTTTCCTTCCGTGTTTAAATGTAGTGAGTCGAATGAAAATGGAGAATGAGCAATTGAAAGATGACACAAGTAGCATTAAAGCGAGAAAATGCATCTGAAGGATTAAAGTAGAGAAGAACCACCAACTAAGGACTTTTCCCAATGAACTAATTATTGTGTAATCATCCTGATTTGTTTTCACAAAGTTTGCATGGAGGTTATACAACATTGTACTGAGCAGTCGTTATCTCCCATTTGGCAGCTTTTCAGTGTTTTCCCATCACTTTCCTTCCTGCAAAAAGTTCAAGTTGTGAGATGAGGGGGGATTGTTGCACCAGAGTGGCAATCTCACTTTAATTGTGCAACATGAATTTTACCAGTATGTAATTGAATTCCATCTGCAATATAGTGACAGTCTCTAATGATATAACAAATGGATGATGTAAACTGGGTTTAAGTAAATGCTCCGTCGATCTTGTTTCCATGTATTCGTAGATACTTTCTGGTCAGTTCCTCTCAGAACGTAGTGTGAGGTCATATGTAGAAGTGGAGTTATATGGACTGCCGGGTGATCCAAAACGCAGATACAGAACCAAGATGTCACCAAATGCCAACTCAATCAACCCTGTATGGAAAGAGGATGCTTTTGTCTTTGAAAAGGTAACAGTGCCTCATGCAACAGGTGTCTCTTCTAAGAACAACCTTCTTTGACAGTTCTAGACTTCCATGGACTGAGGTCAACTTTCAAACTACAGTGTAAATAGGGTGTGTGGGGTTGAGTGATCTAGGTGCCACTTGCTTATATTTTACATTTTCTTTGCCAACTTTCATGCACAGCGTTTTTTACAATACTGATTTCCTTCTTGTGAGGCAACCTTGTGAGGCAAATAATTTACATTTCCATTTCACAGATGGAGAACTGAAGCTGAGAGACTGAGGCTTATCCAAAAATTACCCACTGAGCTCTTGTCTGAACAAGCTTTTTAAAATTAAAATATTCCAGATCCAAGTCCACTGTTCTTATTTTATGAACCCACAAAATATTTTGTTCTGTGCTTTTAAAGTGGAACTTGCAAATCAAATGGACTATGGAAGTATACACTTGCTTTGTTGAACTAGAAGGCATCTTAATTTTATTTCCCCCTCATGTACAAATTTGACAGTGTTGCTTATTTTGTATGTTTTAGTTGACCTGGTCCTCTTGTATTCCTGTAATAGTAAGGACATTTTTAGTTCTTAGTTCTTTATCTCAGAGAAGGTTCTTTTTTCTATTAAAAAACAACAACCCTTTTATACAAATTCCCCTGAACCTCCCATAATAGAAGTCCCCTCCTGCTTATTCTCATCAAAGTAATTCTTAAGAGCTGTCTCAATTCATTCTCTAATGTCCTGATTAGCAAGCAAAGCTGGTTTAAGAGACCAGGAATGACTCATTTCTAACCATGAGCACAATGTAAAAGAAGTTGAGCCAGACGTGTGATCTGTAATTTTTATAGAGCCAATACTTGTGGATGTTACCATAGTGAGTAGTGAGCTGGAAGCCGTAATACCTGATTCAGGTATTTGTTTTAAATTGGTATGAAATGAAAAGCTCACGTCTGTCAAGTCAAATTCACTCTGTGTATCTCGCAGTCCCCACCTCTCAAGGAGGTGCAATAGTTTTAAGTTCCCTGCGATCACTGGAGGAGAGATGTTGCCTGACATGTACATTTTGTAGTGAGATTCCCTAATGTTTCAGTTTAGATCACCTCCTAAGATATCTTCCTGTGCAAAGGAGTGAAGTTTATATAGTGAATGGTGAGGAAATTTAGTTGTCTGTTGTTCAGGACATAAACTTAGCCCATTGTGAACTATTTATTTAGGGTTATCACATTTAAATCACCCATACTCCTGTTTCAAACATTATGAACCGTATCTCATACAGTCCTTCCTTCTTTCCAAAAACACACATTCCTTATCACACACTCTACCTCTGGTTATTGGGGGGGGGGTTGTGTGCTAAAAAACCCAAAACAAAACAAAACAAAACACTAAGCTGTTTTGTATGCTCTGGCATTTACTTAGAATCAATTAGGTTGATACAATGCTGCATACAAATCAGTGTTGTGCAACTGCACAAGCGCTATGTTTTCTCAGCCAGCTATAATCTACAGGACACTAGTGGAGAAAACATATAGCCTGTTATTATAGGGAACAGAGAGCTAGCAAAAACAAATGAACTGGAAGTAGAAAAGAAAAATTGCCCTCAAACTGAGTGAGCCAAAAGTCCAATACTTGGACAATCCAGGAGTTCATGATTCTTGAGAACTCCATTTTCTAAAATATTTTTAAGTCAATTGAAGATAAGCATCATTTGATTCTTTCTTGACAGATTTTGATGCCAGAGCTAGCTTCTCTCAGAATTGTGGTTTGGGAGGAAGGAGGCAAGTTCATAGGGCAACGTGTCATTCCCATCACTGCTGTGCGTTCAGGTGAGAATGGACTATTTTTGAGATTTCTGAAAATGGACTTACTTTCTTCACTAGATCATTTGGTTGACTGGTAATTTCTCTGCATGAATCCATATGCCCTTCATGTGTTATAGGGTATATGTAGAAACTGCTAGTGGCAGTGAGCTTTATGTTTGTTCTCTCTCTCTCTCTCTCTCTCTCTCTCTGTGTGTGTGTGTAATCTCTGTTGATATTAAACTTGATGCTTATTAATTTTACCAAATGCCCTCTGCTTCTTCCCTTTCTATATAACTCAATCATAGCTGCATCCTCTGTTAACTGAAAAATCTAGCAATTTAGTCTATTTGTATACAAGAGCTGCTTGGTCATTTTGCTTGTGCTTTTCTAGAGTCCTTTCACTCACTTCTACCCTATCATTTCCAGAGCCATAAATATTCATAGTGAGGATGTGTGTCATGGTTTGTATATGGAAATTATTGTTTTCCTCACCAGACTGAGACATTGCCACAATTAATTGAAATGAACGGAGCTTCCACAACTATAGCTCAGTTGGTAGAGCATGAGACTCTTAATATCAGGGTCATGGGTTTGAGCGCCATGTTGGGCAAAAGATTCCTGCATTGCAGGAGATTGAACCGGATGATCCTTGTGGTCGCTTTCAACTCTACAATTCTATTATCTGCAATTCATAACTCCTGGCCATTTCAATAGGACTTATACAGGATAACTTCCTGAGGGCCTGTGCTCCATGAGTCAGCTCCCATGCCCACTATCCTTACTGGCAGGGCCGGCCCATCCATGAGATAAGTCCGGGCAACCACCTCAGGCAGCAGGATCCAGAGGGGCAGAAGAGCCAGACTCCAAGGAAGGCACTGTGGCAGCAATGGTTGGAGTGTGCACCTTGGAGGTTGGATGTGTCCCCTCCGCAGTGCCCACCCACCCCACCATGCCACCTCCACAGCAGCCTCTTGGCAAATTGAAGGTGCTACTGGTCTCCCCACACACTTAGTTCCTGATGTAGATCACTATTGCCCCTTGTTCCTGATGTGGATCTTCACTCACCCCTTCTCCCCTGGTGGGGGCACCATTTTGTGGTTCACCTCAGGTGCCAAAATGCCTTGGGCCAGCCCTGCTTTCTGGTATGCAGAACCTGCCATTGCAGGTGACTTGCTGCACCTTGCATCATCCGAAGCTGATTTCTGATTGCCTCCAGCATTTTCCAAAACAGTCCCTCAGTAGCATTCTGTTTGCCACCTGTTTCTATTGGGATATGTGCTTTCTGTTTTAGGCTATCACCATGTTTGCCTTCGTAGTGAGAGCAACATGCCACTTACAATGCCTTCTCTCTTTGTGTATGTGGAGATGAAAGACTATGTTCCGGATTCGTGGGCAGGTACCGTATTCCAAAAACCTGAAAGAGGGATGTAGTTACCTTTTGTTTAGTGGCATCTTCATAATATCTACCCCAGAGCAGTTTACAATGAAAAGAAAAACTACAATGATAAAATGTACAATGGCTCAGTTCAAATCGATATAAAATAGCAAATGACATATCAATTAAAACAGCAGAATGAAACCTGCAGATATTAGCAGAGTTTAAATTTGCACCACCCTTATAATATTAAAAAGGTGCATCATTCAAATGCCTGAAGAAATAACAATGTCTTCCTATGACATTTCACCGGAAATGATAATCCAGCAGGTACCTGGGAAGGAGTTCTATATTGGGGGTGCCACAGATCTGCCTTCTTGATCTGCGAAGGTGGTGATACTCTGGGAGGGGGATCAGTAAAAGTTCTTAATATTTGGGCAGGTTAATATGGAAGGTGATCCTTACAGTATCTGGATTCTGTGCCGTGAAGAATTTCAAAGGTTAAACCACCACCATGAAGAAAAACGAGTTAGCAGTGTAGACCTTACTAGAAAATGGTCTGACCATGACAACTGGATCATAACAAACCCTCCACTATTGGCCCGCTTTCACCAACCTATTACAAGCACCGGATCCAGAATGTGACTTGCCAACTCTGTAGGCCCTTTGACAACTTGAGGCTTGATGGTCAGGTGGTCATTATTTGTAGTAGTTGTTTCTTAAGGGCTGGCTGAGGTATGCATAAATCCAGTGATTTTCATAAATTTCTGGGAGGGGTGAAGTGGAAATGTGTCCTGAAGTTTGGCTCATGTGGGTAGCCATCTCCTACCCATGAGGCATGTTTCCCAAGAACACCATTGCTTAAAGAGATACACCCCCTTTTCAGGGGGTGAGCCAGTGGGGTGTAGTGGTTAGAGCGGTGGACTCGTAATCTGGTGAACCGGGTTCGATTCCCTGCTCCTCCACATGCAGCTGCTGGGTGACCTTGGGCTAGTCACACTTCTCTGAAGTCTCTCAGCCTCACTCACCTCACAGAGTGTTTGTTGTTGGGGAGGAAGGGAAAGGAGATTGTAAGCCGCTTTGAGACTCCTTAAAGGTAAAGGGACCCCTGACCATTAGGTCCAGTCGTGACTGACTCTGGGGTTGCGGCGCTCATCTCGCTTTATTGGCCGAGGGAGCCGGTGTACAGCTTCCGGGTCATGTGGCCAGCATGACTAAGCTGCTTCTGGCGAACCAGAGCAGCACACGGAAACTCCGTTTACCTTCCCGCTGGAGCAGTACCTATTCATCTACTTGCACTTTGACATGCTTTCAAACTGCTAGGTTGGCAGGAGCAGGGACCGAGCAACGGGAGCTCACCCCGTCACAGGGATTCGAACCGCCGACCTTCTGATCGGCAAGTCCTAGGCTCTGTGGTTTAACCCACAGCGCCACCTGTGTCCCTGTCCCTGAGTCCCTTAGACTCCTTAGGGTAGTGATAAAGTGGGATAGCAAATCCAAACGCCTCTTTACACCAGTTTAAGTTCCACTGGCTCAGCATAGCCAGCTGGGATGTAGGGGATGCTGAGCTGAGGATGAGAGAGTTAAGCCAGTGTAGCCCAACTGTGCTGAAAACCCCTGGCTTATCCAGATATATGCTGAATCCTAGCCTGCTCATCCTGACAGAACTTCATTAAGCGTTCCTCCCTTAATGAACCTGTGCTATTATGCATGAATCTGGAGAACTGAGAGACTCAAAACTCAGGATATATGATCTCTAACATATTCCTAGAAACACAGCAGTAAGGAATAAGTAGGAGAGGGATGATATGATATTGTTGAAAATCCTGGATTATTTCCCTAGATCTCACCATGGCGCTCTCCAACCCAATAAAGTTTTTTAATGCACATGACAAAAAATCAGAGAAGAGCCAAGAGGATACTCCTGAGGTGAGTTCCACAGATACTTTTATTTATTTACCTACTCAGAATAATTGCATTCCACTTTCACTTGCACAGTTCAAGGTGACTAACAGCAGAATTCATGCAATAAAAGCCGAGGTCACTGCAAATGGGGCGTATCAAAAATGCCTGAAATGGTAAGTAGAGAAGACGTGGAGGTTCCATCTGGGTTTTATTTGCTTAGGGGAATCAAGAGCAGGAATGTGGGAGGGGAACCAGTTCTTAAAAGGAGACTTTTTCGCCCTAGGAGGGGCCTGCAGGCAGAAGCTGGCAGCAGAATTTGGATCCTGAGTAAAGTTCAGTTCCCAAGAATAGTCTTAAAATGATGGTCCAGAATTCTACCCATTTTGGGTATTGCAGAGTTTGGCTTGAACCACATGCAATTAATTTTACAAGGGGGACACTAACTGAAAGGAATGAGTGAACACACTTGGACTTACATTTTTATTAGTTTCCTGCATGTGTACAATGACATCACAGCATCTTTAAATGTGTGCATTTCCATATTGAATTAAAATATCCATTTTCCATAAAAGGAGAGGCAGCCCCAAATGCTAGTTTTCTCTATAGAGAAGCTCGCTACTGGCAATTTTAAAAAAATGAACATTCATTCATTGGGATAGGAAAACCTACACCCACTAGATCTTTTTTAAAAATTCAAATAGGATGTATCCGGGGACTATTTTTCACATCAAAAGCAGTTGCTTCAAGCATTACATGCCACATTAATTGTATCTACAGGATTCTTTGAAAGAGTTAGAGATGGGAATGCATTCTTAGCATTGTGTTTGAAATTATTTATGCCACTGCAGGCAGTTAACTTTTTAAATCAATGAATGGCTTTGACTGATTGACCAAGTTAATGGATTAAATACTGCAGTAGCACACACTTCCATAGAAGGCTCCTGTGCCTGGCACATTAGTGCACTACTGTACTAGTAACCACAAGCATCTCCTTTCCCTGCCACAAGCTGCAATACAACCCCTCTCCTCAATTCTAGTGTATTTATTGCTTGTTCCTGAATCTCCTGTTCTGCTTGCCTGTTCAGCCACATAGACACAAGCCAGTGTCTCCTCAGCTTCCAGCAGGGACAAGAGGGTGCCACCACCAACCAGACTAAAACCCAAAGTCCACAGTGATGCAAGTTTGCAAGAAGATTAAAGATGTACCTTATGGCTCTCTCTCTCTTATGCCTCCTATAGTTTCAGTGTGGCAAAATACACAATGCCACGAAGCAAAACTGAGGGGAAAGTGTCCAGTTGTTTCTAGTGATCCGTTTTGCTATAACTGATGCACAATTAATTTTTGTTTTAGGGGCCTGACTTGCAAAAAAGTCTTTCATCTGTTCAACTCAATACCAACGGGATACATAATGCCACAGGGACCTTTAGTACTCCTCCTTCAAACGGGCCTGGAGGTAATGCTATGGATATGGTTGGGGCTGAGCATGGCCGCTTAAATATACGCTGTTCAGATTCTGAAAATAAATGATCTTGATCCAGGAGACAAGAAGCAGGGTTGACATTTCTCATTTCATTGGGACTCACTTAACATGCTGGTTGTGATCAATTTCAATGGCTGTTATCTTTCACGAGACAGAATAAGCTCACTCATCTGTCGTGTGTTTTCCCCCCTCAGGAACCTTGAATGGAAAAGGAACCTCGACAGGAAAAGAAGAAACCACAAAAGAACCTACAAAAGAACCTACAGGTATTTCTAACCCTGTTCTTGTTGAATGGCAACATTCAAGTTCAAATTACTGTAATTTCTGTCCTGATTTCGCAGGGACAGCCAATATGGCACCCTCCATATGTTGTTGGGACTCCAACTTCCATCAGCCCTAGCCAGCATAGCCGATAGCAAGGTATGATGGGAGTTGCAGTCCTGCAGCACCTAGAAGGCAACATGTTGGCTAGCCTTGTGCTACTGTAACTGTGCTGGAAGTGAACTCATTACAAAATGTGAGGTAAGTCAACCACAGGCTCCGATTCACCTTTCCCCATATTCTTTTTATATCCTGCACAGAATTGATAGCGGCTTCTGGACATAGCCACAGAATCCTGCAAAGCACATCCCAACAGCATATTTTCATTTTCTGGGATTACCTGGACCTTAAAAATAAGGTGTTGGAATGATTTAACTGACACACTTTAACAATCCAGCCAGTTTTCTTCACAGGAATCATGTAATCTTATACAGTTGTTTTTAATGAAAATAATAAAACTGCAGGTTTATTGTTGCATAAAAGTAGTTAGAACTACAGATTCATACTTTATTATTTCATAAAATGTATACACCGTTTAATTGTAAAATACCTCAAAGTGGTTTACAAAAATAAAACAATAGAATTGTCCATCACTTTTTTATCTGCATATTTTTAAGGGGTGGAAGAACACACACGCACACACATTTTAAGTAGTTAGATGTGTGCTGGAGGGCATCTAAAATATAAGAATAAACAGAAGGTTTCTAAGGCTAAGCAGAAGGTTCATAAAATTATGGAACAATGCTGCAAAGGTAGGTAGTGACTTTGTTATGGCTAGCCAATTTTTTAAAAGTTGTGGTTAAATGAGTGCTCCTGCACTGAAGACAGAAAATAGGAGAGCTTACAGTGTCCATAAGATTCTACAGCAATATTTACACTTTCCAATAAATAAATAAATTGAACTTCACACAGAGACACACATTTTAAAAATTTCAAAAAATGTTGTGGGTTGCAATCTATGCAAGAGGGGGGAATCATTAACCCTCTACTCTGCATTGCATATTTGGAGGGTCCTGTGTCTTAGGAATGGCTTTCCAGAGAGCATGACAGACTCAGTGGAAAGGGGGCCAGGTAAGCCCTGTACATGCATAAGACAATGTGGACTCCAGTGTCACAAACAATACCCAACAAGGGCCTCTGACATTTGCAGAGTCGCATCTGCGCAGAACTCTTTCGTGGAGGCAAGTGTTACGTTTTCCCAGGGATAAAATATTGTGGTTTGTGTGCTGAGATGCTGTGATATATGTGCAATCGTAGGATCAGCTTGAGAGGAGATGGGGTATACGCAGGCATGTCCAACCAGTAGATCGCAATCTACTGGTAGATCCCCGGCTGATCCTGGTAGAGCACGGGACCCTTATCAATCGTGGAATTAAACAAAAGTTTACCGAAAGTTAACAAATAAAAGCTGAAGAACTCTGGGCAATCCTACCCTTAAAAAGCTCAACATCTCTGGGCTCAACAACTCTGGGCAATCCACCCACCCCACGCATGCTCCTCCTCCCTCCAATGACAATGGGTAGATCACTGCCAGTTTTTTTATACTGAGAGTAGATCGTGGTCTCTTCGGAGTTGGACGTGCCTGTAATATAGCAAAGAAAGGTCCTTCAAGTGGACAGTGAAAATGAGTGGCAATTTAGCATCTCGTTTAAGCAGATGCATCTCTTTTTCATGCTGTGTTTCAGAGCTGCAAACGGCGAGCTTTGAGGAGCTGCAGCAGATGAAGAATTTTGGGAAACTGTTGAAGAAGCAAGAGAAAGACCTGAAGGACGTGGAACGGAAGACAGTCAAGCGCAAGGAAGAGCTGTTGCAGAAATATGCCGTCCTTTTCATGGAGCTGGGCACGCAAGCTGGCAAAAAGAAAATGCCATGCCCACCTAAAACCCAGAAAAAGAAAAGGTAGAAATTGGATCATGAGCAGAAAAGGCTGTGGGATCCTTCTTGGCCATCAGAAGACTTGCTTTTAACTGTAACTTTATTTAATACATTTCTTTCATAATGTATGTATCATGGCATAAAAGGAATTTGTTCCACTACTGAGACATTATAGGACTTTAGGCTTTTCCAGAGGAGAGAGATTTAGGTATGTGCATTAGAGAGAGAGATTTAGGTGTGTGTTACGGATTTGTGTGTTGATACTGTGTTAATCTCAGAGTGTGAGGAGAAGCCCCTGGCAGGTGGCAGGAACAGTGTACTACTATTCTCAGTGGTATAGATACCTGCCGCACAAATACACAACGAAACAGAAGGGGAGTGCCACAATGACAAGGAAGGAAGCAAAGGCGCAATTCAAAGCACTGAAGAAAATCCAATCACGGATGTGTCTCATGTAATTATTTAATCACAAAGCTCAGAGATCCCAATGTATTTTAAGGAAATGCCTCTTCACAAAGGGAAACAAATAAAAGGGCATTTCTTACACAACAGCTGCAATAAACAGCTGTTACATAAACAGAGAATTACAATACCACAGTTTTGCTATGTAGCCACCTTCTAAATATGACAGCTGCAGGGTATAAAGGAAGCAAAATCAAGGATTAATGATGGCTCCACCGTTCACCTTCCTGCTTAAAGAGCAAGTTATTTATATTATTTATTTATAGGATTTATATACTGCCTTTTTGTGAAGGCACCCATGGCAGTTTACAGTTCTGCTACTGCCCCACCCACTCACCATCACAGAGAAACATAGAATATTCCTGCACTGCAGGGGGTTGGACTAAAAGATCCTCAGGGACTATTCCAACTCTACAATCCTATGATTATGGAATTCTTATCAATTCTACAATTCCATAATCACTGCAGAGTTGGAAGTGGCTGCAAGGATCATCTAGTCCAGGCATAGGCAAACTCCGGCCCTCCAGATGTTTGGACTACAATTCCCATCATCCCTAGCTAACAGGACCAGTGGTCAGGGATGATGGGAATTGTAGTCCCAAACATCTGGAGTTTGCCTATGCCTGATCTAGTCCAATCCCCTGCGATGCAAGAATCTTTTACCCCATTGTGGGGGCTCAAACCCATGATCCTGTGATTAAGAGTCTCACGCTCATAAAAATAAAACACAAACAATTCCCTCTCCCAGCCTTTCACCTTCCTATTCATGGGGCAGGTGATGTTCACTGGTCCTGAAAGGAGACAGTCTGACTGGCAAAGGCCTAATGGTTTCCCTGCCTGCCTCTCTTCTTTCTCACATGGCAGAATTAAGGCCCATAATCTACAGCTGTTATAGAACATACTGGCAATATTATGCCATGCAGAGATGAAAAATGGCTCCTTGGTGGTACAGCAGTGAATTGGTCACAATATTAGCCATATTGTGAGAATTGTTCCTCTTTGTCTGAAGTTGCAGGAAGTGGACTGTGGATGACAGCAGCTCAGGAGGAACGCCGGTGAGATGGCAGAGAGTCCTCCTGACAACAGAGTCTTGGAGCTGAAAGGGAAGCTGGAGAAGGAGCTAATGCAGCTAGGAGAAGAGCAGTATGATGCAATTCGGAAGAAGAAAGAGCTCCACGCCACAGAGGTACAGATAGGAGGTTTATTGCCCTTTCCTTACTTAACATTTGGCTTGCAGTACAGTGGTACCTCGGGTTACAGACACTTCAGGTTACAGACTCCGCTAACCCAGAAATAGTACCGGGTTAAGAACTTTGCTTTGGGATGAGAACAGAAATCGTGCTCTGGCGGCGTGGCGGCAGTGGGAGGCCCCATTAGCTAAAGTGGTACCTCAGGTTAAGAATAGTTTCAGGTTAAGAACGGACCTCCAGAAGGAATTAAGTTCTTAACCCGAGGTACCACTGTAGTTACAGGTCATCCTACAACAGAGTCCTCAGAGCAGCCCACAACAGGAAATGAAACCATTTAAAATCTAATCGCAGTAAAAGCAGCAATATAAATATAATACAGTATAAAAACATAAGTCACATAGAGTAAGCACAGATTAAAGACAGATTAAAATGCCTGGGAAAATAAAAAGATCTTTACCTCACACTGAAATGGCACCAAAATATGCCCCATGTGCGCCTTTTTGAGGAGGGCATCCCATAGTGTCAATGCCACCACTGAAAAGGCCCTAGTGCGCATCATTTGGTTAGGGGCACCGAGAGGAAGATCTTTGAGGATCTCAAGGCATGAAGTCAGTGATCCCAGGTGCTACTGTCTGAACACATCTCAGATCATTTTGTTGCAACTGAGTAGTGTCAGACAAATAAATCTGTTCACAAGGAAACCTTCAGCACAGGAATGGCAGGTAAGGGTGAGGGAGAACCACTTTTCCCACTTGCTTGTTCTGTAGATTTTAATCTAAGAGAGCAGCAGCATCTCATCCTCAATGCTATGGTTGTCTGATGTTCTAGTCTATGTGTCACAGACAGTGTCAAATATACCCCAAATTAGCTGTTATAGACCTCATGGGGGGGTTCCCTATTTTATGGCTGAATATAGGTTGGAGCCAGATTTATTGTAGGAACTCTGCTCATGGGCTGTTCCTGCTGCAGGAAGGGAAGGCTACAGTTTTGCTGATTCCTCCTTCTCCCTGCAGCACCCTTAAGGTCTGTCCCAGCTTGTCAGGGGCCCTTCCAGGACAATGAAAAAGGTGGCACAACGGGCTGCAAACAGAAGTAGGAACTTGCAAAAATTGCCTCTTTCTCCCTTCCTCCAGCAAGAGCTTCCACTGGATAAAAGGCCCTCCCACAAATGGAGGAGCAACTTGCAGTTTTAGGAAGAAAAGAAAAAGAGTAAAATTAAATTCTGACATTCTACCCTGTGTTTTAATCTTTGGACAGCAAATTTCTAAAATAATTGAGCTTGCAAGAGAAAAGCAAGCATCTGAGCTAAAGGCACTAAAGGAATCCTGGGAAAGGTAGGTAACAAAATAATGTAAGTTTTTCCCAGCGTTTTCATCTACTAATTTTGCATGGCTTAATTTTTGCTTGTGTTTTCCCTGTTCAGACTGGATTGCAGCTGATAGGAAGGGTGCCATTATTTTGAAACGGCTCAGTGCATGCAGTCCTTGTTGGTGTTAGTCTAGTTCATCTGTCATTTGGCTGGGCAAGAAATAGAAGGGGTGGGCAGAAGGGATTTGCATGATGTAACATGCACACAATACCTATGCATTTTCTCTCATTCCACTGGGATCATTTACCTCCGGCAAGGAACATTTTCAGGCCCGTAAACAAAGAGCATTATGTGGTGCTTCCTTTACTAACCTGTGCTCTATGACTGAAATGATTGAAGACATTAGGTAGACAAGAAGACAGCAATTTACAGAGATAAAAATGTGTTATTGCTGAAATCGATCAACTCTAGGTGATATCTTCCTCTACAGTGACACTAAAGAAATGAAAAAGAAACTAGAGGTGAAAAGATTGGAAAAAATTCAGACCATGGCTAAGACCACAACCGACAAGAGCGCCCAGGAAAGGTACTGTGGCAGACTGATTGGCCTCTCTGGAGTTTGTATCTGCTGAACTCTTTCACAGGGCTGGGCATTAGCTAGAAATAGAGATGGACAAATCTGTCAATTCTGGCCCTCTAAGTCATGGGTCAGCAACCTTTTTCAGCCGTGGGCCCATCCACCATCCCTCAGACTATGTGGTGGGCCAGACTATATTCGGGGGGAGGGTGAACAAATTCCTATGCCCCACAAATAACCCAGAGATGCATTTTAAATAAAAGGACACATTCTATTCATGTAAAAACATGCTGATTCCCGGACCGTCCGCAGGCCGGATTGAGAAGGTGATTGGGCTGCATCCGGCCCCCGGGCCTTAGGTTGCCTACCCCTAGTTTTCCTTTTTTCCAGTCTTAATTGTAGTTCTCCACATTTCTGCAGCAAATTGCAATTAATTTTTTTAATCCTCTTGAAAATTCACCAGTATTTTAGTGCAAATTTATCCTAATAAACACATTTTGACTCATGCATGCCTTTTTGCAAGCAAATCCCAGTAATGTAATGCATTTTAATATTATTTTCACTAATATGTGCATTTTAATGCACCTTTCCCCCTAATATTTTTGTATATGGTTTGGATAGAGAACTGCTATTGCAAAATTTGGGAAAGTGCACATTTTGAAGGATGGTCATATTTCAGTTTGCATATTGGTTCAAGAAGTGTGAATGAGGTAGTTAAAACAAAACAGAATTTCTCCTCCATGCCTAGCTAGAAACAATTTTTTACTTGCAAAGAGCCTAAAACTTAAAAACAGTGTGAGAATTCTGGTATCCTGCTAAACTAATGATGGCTAACCTTTTTTGACCCAAGGGCCACATTCATCCTTGAGCAACCCTCTAGGGGCCACATATCAGCCATGAGTATGACCCACATACTCTCCCACACAGACTTGCTCATCCTCAGTTGCTCTGTGCTTATCACACATACTTCACATACCCTCTCAGCAATCCTGAAAGACAGTGATTGGCCTAAGGTCCCAAGTTAGTTTCAAGGCTGTGGGAGAATTTGAACCTAACCCTCCCTGGTCCTTGTCAGACACTCGTAAGTACTGCCCAGCACATTCTCAGGTTACTACAACCCAATTCATTTGTGCAGGTTTCCTTAACTGACACAGATTGCTATCATCATCACTACAGGGAAATCCTATAAATCTATCACTTTAGTACAGTTCTTTACAACACAATGCCTTTTGCTGGCAAATCATGTACCTTTAACACCCTGTCATTTTAATTCTTAACTGGGCATCTGTGATAAACCTCTCAGTCATGACTAACTGAAGCGTTTCCCTGCTGAAGGTTATCATTATCAAAGTGTGTTGATAGGGTGGTTTTTTCCCTACAGACTGAAGAGAGAAATCAACAACGCACACATTCAGGAAGTGGTACAGATGGTCAAACAGGTAAGGCTGTCACAAAAACTAGCTGGATAAGGCCTCTGGCAAATCTTAGTCCAATTGTACAACACAAAAGTACACTCTCGGGATCATTTCACTCAGCTTAGCTTAGGCCCGAACCATTTATTGGAGGACCTGCACCTTTACCATCCCACTGGAACTCTGAAATCTCCTGCTGTGCCTGCCCTCTAGGTCAGGAAGGTGGGTGGCCACAAAGGAGAGAGGTCCTTCACACAATGACAGTATTAACTACCGTATTTTTCGCCCCATAGGACGCACTTTTTCCCCTCCAAAAATGAAGGGGAAATGTGTGCGCGTCCTATGGGGCGAATGCAGGCTTTCGCTGAAGCCTGGAGAGCGAGAGGCATCGGTGCGCACCGACCCCTCTCGCTCTCCAGGCTTCAGGAAGCTATCCGCAAGCCTTGCAAGCCCGGCGGGAGTTCCCGCGGGCTCACAAGGCTTGCGGGCAGCAGCCTGCAGCCCCAGCAAGTGTCCGCAAGCCTTGCACGCCCGGCAGAAGGTCCTGCCGAGCGCGCGAGGCTTGGGGCGGCAGCCTGTTGCCCGAAGCACGGGGAGCCCTCCGGAGGGCTCCCTGTGCTTCGGGCGAGTGTCCGCAAGCCTTGCGCGCCCAGCAGGAGGTCCCGCCGAGCGCGCGAGGCTTGGGGCGGCAGCGAGTGTCCGCAAGCCTTGCGCGCCCGGCGGGAGGTCCCGCCGGGCGCGCGAGGCTTGGGGCGGCAGCCTGCAGCCCGAAGCACGTGGAGCCCTCTGGAGGGTGCCCCGTGCTTCGAGCAGGTGTGCGCAAGGCTTGGGGCGGCAGCCGCGGGGGGGGGGATAATTTTTTTTTATTCATCCCCCCTCCCCAAAAAAACGAGGTGCGTCCTATGGGCCAGTGCGCCCTATAGGACGAAAAATACGGTAGTTATTTTTTCTTTTATAGTCCTTGGTTGCAAGCTGCTTTGGATAGCCATTTGCCCAGAAAAGTGGCATTTAATATTTAAACATTTAAAAAAAATAAATAGGTATGCCTTAGCTGCTAAGAAATCCTGAGTGTGAACTCCTGCTTTGTCAGCTTAACACATTGCTGAAGGACCACGGGGATTCATCAGGGTGTTTCTATGGAGCGGCCCAGGGGCCTGAGCTCTAAGTCGTCGTCGTCTTCTTTGCTGGGTCCCAGAATTCTTGCCGCTGAATCACTTTTTACTGGGCACACTGCAAAATGCAGAGCTAGTGTGAAATCCCCCCCACCCACTAACTTGATTTGCCCAGAGGCAGTCTATACTGTTATGCAAACTTGTGCCATGAGCCTATGCCCCAAGTACCTAGCAATAACATTTGCCGCTTTTATACTATCTGAAGAAGTGTGCATGCACACAAAAGCTTATACCTAGAACAAACTTAGTTGGTCTCTAAGGTGCTACTGGACTATTTTTTTTTATTTCACTTTTATACTGTTGGTTTGAAGATGATGGCTTTTAAAATACTTTCTTTCCCTGCTTCAAGATGAATGAAAAACAGGCTAGGGACCAAGAAGTACTGGAGAAAAAGCAGGCGGCCTGCCTAGAAGCAATCAAGGAAAAGGAAAACCAGGTAAGAGGATGGGAGAATCAAAGGTCTAGAATAGACCCCAGAGATTTACTCCAACCCCCGGCTCTAAGAAGTGTCCAGCAGAGAAAGCCAACAATTATTTTGAAGGCCTAGTTTTGCTATGGAATGGTTGAGATGAAATGAAATGGGTGGTTGACACTATCGCTTCTGAGCATCCTCTCCAGCTTTGTGGCACCCAAGTGGCTGCTTGGCATTCTGGGGAGCTTCAGGCAATGAAGCAAGTCAGACAAAGACTAGAAGGCAAGTGGTGCAAACCTCACTCCGAAGCCAGCTGGGCACTGACTAGTGCACATAATCACGCAGAAAGGAAACAGCAAACAAATTACCCAGAGTTGGGAGTACCAAGGGGACCATTTGGACTGGGAATGTGGTGTTGGTCAGGGGTCAACAGCACAGCACTCACATACACCAGTGTGCTTGATTGTACTTGCTGTGGTACCTGCTGAAGGTCTCAGAAAATGCACAAAGGACTGTTTTTTGTCTCTGCCCAGCTCCTGTTTGCAATGTTTAAGCCTCTCCTACTTTGAACCTACCCCATCCAACATCCTTGCATTTCAGTGGATGCCAGGATTCGATACCCACTCTCCTGTGCAGAGCTTCTCTTTGTGAGTTCACTAGTGGCGGACGTTATACCACAACCCCATGGCAGCCATTTTGTGCTTGTCCACACCACAATAACAGCAGCCATTTTGTAACGGTCACCCACAATACTTTCCCAGCATTCCATATGTGCTCACTGGTTCAAAACGGATGCTGATCTCTTGTGTAGGGTAAAGTGAGCCCACATAATTCCAAAATCCCAGTTCCTACTCCCTTCCCCAAAGCTATTGGCTGCCGAGGTGCCTTGCACGAGAGAACTGGCATAAGGTGGGTGGGTGGGTGTACAAAGTAATCCCTCCCAATCCAAATATGGTCAGCTACTTTTCATAAAAAATGATCCTAATAGCTCCCCATCACAAAAGTGAGCATGCCTAATTTGGCCTTTAACAACCGAGGCTTTGTAAAACAAAGGCTTTTCACCCAGCAGAACCATTTAAAATCCCACAAACAAGCAGCTACTGGGCTTCTTCTTAGCATCTGAGCAACATGTGTGTCTCATGTGCTGACCTCTCTCTCCGTACAGCTGCAGCAGGAGGCATTCGCAGAGTACGAAGGCAAAGTGAAAGCTCTCGGCGCAGAAGTGCAAGTTTTAGTGAAGAACTGTGTGAAAGCTGATGCAGCAAAGAAAGAGGACCTATATGCTGCCAGTGAGGGAGGCCAGGGGCTGAAACAACAGCCACAAGAAAACAACCTGATACCTGTTGCTGAAAGATGTGAAACTCAGATGGCTGAGAATACGGCAGAGGATGAGGAATCTAGCGAAATACTGGTGAGCAGGCTGTGAGTCTCTCACCTGACCCTGTTCTTAAGGCACAGATTTTTTTAATGACTCATTTTGTTCCAGACGTTACAGTTCCATAGAACTTAATGGGCTGTCTCTTGTTGCACTTCCATCAGCTCATTGAATCTTTGATTACTGTGATCTGGTAACCCAGATTAGTTTGCGTCTACACTGGAGTTTCTATCTTTCAGGATCTGTAGTGACAATAGGTAAAGGTAAAGGTACCCCTGCCCGTACGGGCCAGTCGTGTTTGACTCTAGGGTTGTGCGCCCATCTCACTTAAGAGGCCGGGGGCCAGCGCTGTCCGGAGACACTTCCGGGTCACGTGGCCAGCGTAGTGACAATACAGGATAGAAATAAACTGTTATGTATTGAAGTTCTCACCCTGGCCACCAGGGGGTATTGTGTATATAGTTTTCACTCAGGTCCACATAAGTTAATTTAGGTGGGAAACCCTGGGCTGTTGTTGTTACAATGTTGACAGCCTATAAAAGCAGGCCGGCTGAGCTGTTTGCTGTTCAGTTCAGTTCCAGCTTACTTATAAAGTACTACTTGGAGAAATCTCTGTGTCGTCTGCTATGTCCACCCACTACTTAATATAAACTTTTTTAAAAACAAAACAAAACCTGTAGTCAGAATACAAAAAGAGCCCTGAAGGATCAGAATAAATGTCCAGTTAATTTAGCATCCCATATCCCACAGCAGTTCAACGGGTTTTCCTGGCAGGGCATGAAGGCAATGGCTCTCTCGTAGAGGTGAGGTTTTTCCTCTTCCAGGGCACGGTTGCCTATCCTAGCTACATCAACGTCCAAGGGTTTATGACTGGTTTAATGAAAAAAGTGTCTTCTTTGCAGGTAATAGTATGGTCAAAAACGAGGCCTGAAATAATTCTAGCTACCAGAGCACTCACAGATCAATTGCTATACAGTGGTACCTCGGGTTACATACGCTTCAGGTTACAGACTCTGCTAACCCAGAAATATTACCTCAGGTTAAGAACTTTGCTTCAGGATGAGAACAGAAATCGTGCTCCAGCGGCGCGGCAGCAGCAGCAGGAGGCCCCATTAGCTAAAGTGGTGCTTCAGGTTAAGAACAGTTTCAGGTTAAGGACAGACCTCCAGAACGAATTAAGTACTTAACCTGAAGTACCACTGTAATCACTAAATCACTTTTTATGCACACTTTACCCCAGGATATGTATTTTTATGCACATTACTTAGTAAAAACTGCACTGCAAAATTCAGATAAGTGTAAATTTTGACAGATGACTGCATTTTGGTTCACACATTTTAGAAAGTTTCCGCCCTTCAGATATTTGAAGCTAGCTATACTATTTGAAGAGCATCACGACTACTGAACACCTAAGAGCTTTGCATTACTGCCTTGTCTTTCCTTCACACTGCACCAAGCAGTTGGTCAGCAATTTCTAGCGGTTTATTTTTTGTCCAACAAATGAGATACATTCATATTAGCTCGCTAGCCAATCCCTTTCCTTTGTTGGCACCACGTCCTGTGTAATTCCTAAAATCTGTTGTTCAAAGGGCTGTTAACAGCTTCCAGAAAACAGTGCACTGTTTTCACTTGACAAATAATCTGTACCTCCATAGGGCATTACAGTGCTATGAAATTAAATACCATGTTAATTAATCTAGGGATGCTTGGACCGCATGCAAAGTCACCAGAGAAAACCAGTTTCACCCAAAGGGACCTACAATAACAATTGCAACTGGAAGAATAATAATCACAACTTCAGGGAGTGGCTTTGGGTTCTGCTTCGCTGCTGGGCTCATCAATGGCATTGCATTCTTAAAAGAGCACCCCACTTTATGACCAAGTTCCGATCAATATCAAAGCACTTGTCAACATTCTCTGCATTGTAAACAGCTGAATGAGTGCTGCTACTGGAATAATATTTAGCCCAGATTAATTTAAATGCAAGAGCTAACCACAAGACACTATGGGTGGCATTTTATTTAGAGTAGATCCATTGGAATTAATTGACCTGACTTACTGATTGACCCCATTTATATTCTTCAAGAAGCTCAAGGGGGCGTACATGATTCCCCCCTCCAAATTAATCTCCACAACAACCCTGTGAGGTAGGTTAGGCAGAGAGGCAGCGACAGGTCCCAGGTCACTCAGTGGCCTTCAAAGCTAAGTGAAGGTTTGAACCCTGGTCTCTCAGGTCCTAGGGTCTGACTCTCTAACGACTACACTTATTCATTCATTTCAGGGGATCTACCATTGAGTAAATCTTACTTGAATGTATTGCAGGGGGTTGGACTAGATTACCCTCGTGGGTCCTTCCAACGCTACATACAATCCTATGATTCTAAGACACCCAATATTTTGTGTGTGCAAGTGCATATGCTCAGTGTATTCATATTGTATCCTAATTTGCAAATGCACAGAGCACTCTCACCTGCCTGGATTGGAGAGGATTCATGGTGCAGCAACCACTGCATCCATAGCCCTGCTGCCCCATAGGGGCCAGGGTGGGTGACAACTAGTTCATTCTTAATTATACCAGCTTCAAGGCTGGTCAATGGGTTTTTTTGCCGGGGGTGGGGAGTGGCTGTTCTTCAGATCAACAACCTCCCCCAACATGCTTTGCTCTGGGTTCCACCACAAGCACAGCTTTCTGCTGCTGCAGCAGGAAGGGTCCCAGTGGTGGCTGTCTAAGTGAGGGATCCACAGCACCCTATTGTCCTCCTCTTCCATCCTCCCAGTGACCACAAGATTGTTCCCTAATAGGCCAACTCTATAGGCAGGAGAAATATGCAAACAGATCTTTATCTACTTTTCTTCCCCCCCCCCCAACCTTCATAGACAGACAGAAAGGTCGCTGTAGATTGTTTTGCAGCCAGCAGGCTGGAAAGGAGCAGAAGGCACCTCACCTGATTGCTGGCTTATTAACTTCCTTGTAATTAGTTACATGGCACTTTCTCCAAGAGCTTTACAAACACCAGTAAGGAGGCAGAAGCAGAAGCCTTAAGCAGAAGCTATTGCTGCGAGGAGACTTTTCAAGCAGTGCGGAGAGTCAGGCAACCAAAACGTCAAAAGCAAGTGCCCAGAAAAATACGCACTGCAGCATTAGAAACTCATATATATAAGCTAGGCACCAAATGGCTCCTTAAACCAGGGTTACAGTCGCCAAAACGGAATGTCATTTGGGGGCCAGTCAGCTCAAAAGTCGTATTTTTCAATACAACCTTTAGGTTCCTGAAATTTGTTCCGATTGTGCAGATAAAATATAATGGATAGAATTCTACAGGATGTGTTACTAGTGTGTGAAAACAATATACAAGGATCCCCAGGCATGCATCTCCAGATGGTGGAAACATCAGGCGCCATCCTTGGTGCCCGGGCAGCCTCACTTGGTCCCAAGTGGCTTATAGGCACCTGATACCTGGGGACTTCCGGGTTGGCGCGATCCGGGAATGGCGGATTCCCTCCGAGCTCCGGAGGGAATCGGCTCAGCGGTGGATGGGTCTTTGCCGTGCCGGCGACACGGGGACCCTTAAAAACCGCAGGTGCAGATGCCTGCGGACTGAAGACTCGGCGGGTGCCTTAAGCGCCCCCCCTGATTCGCGAAGAGCCTTTTTAAAGGCTATGGAGGGGATACGGGGGACGGCGCGGCACTGAGAGTCGATCGCTACCGCCGCTGAGCGAAGCCGCGAGCCATAACTGGAGAGCGCTGACTTCCTTCCTTAAAATTTGGACTGGAAAAAAAGAACCCGTGAGTAATTTGGAACTGAACTTTAAAATTTTCTATCTTCTGAATTTGAGACGACCGGGGGGTGCGCCAAAAGGAAGTCCCCACCCCCCCTCTTGCAGACGATCTAAGCAACGACACAAGAGCTAAGCTGGAGAGCCTACCCTTGGCGGGGTGAGTTAAAAAGGACACTAACTTCCAAGATTTAACTAAAGGAAATTTTGGGCTGGAGAGTGGAGTTTTGGAAACCCTCTTTTTGTTTTAAACAACCCCCCCTCCCGGGCTCGGGAACGTCCTGCCTTTGTGCCTGCGTTAGAGCTGCGGAGTTTGACAGCTGTCAAAGCTGTCAAACGGGCGGTTTAAAGTGAGAAATTGTTATTTAAGATCCCTCTGGACTAAGACGAGTTATAATTGAGTTAAAACTGTTGGAAACAAAGTAATAACAATCAGTTAAAGGATTGTTGTTGAAAAGGCAAATAAGTAACCAGATTCCCCCTAGGGGGAACTCTGTGAAACTACAATGGATACAATGGCTGTGGAAGGAAAGTTACTAGTGGAAATCGAAAGGATGTTTCAATTGGTGGGAATCTTACAAGAGCAGAGCTTGGCCATGAATAAACAACTTGAGACTATGACCTTGGGAACAGGCAACTCTGCTCCTTGTATTGAGGACCTCAATGAGAAAGAATCCACAGCTGATTGGGAAACAATACCTACAGAGCTGGAAGAGACTAAACAACAAGAAAAAGAAGAAGTAATCCTGGGAAGCAACAACCAAAAGCTGACATCTGTGGAATACAAGCAAGGAGACGCTGGGAACATATCCACTACAAGTCTGCGAAAGATACAGAAGAAGAAGGAGGAGGTCCCAAGACAAAATGGAATACAGGAATTTAAAATAAAGAAATATGATTGGGGCCTCCATCTGGACTTAGACTTGGAAGAGATAGACTTTGTGGAAATACTTCAGCAGCTACCTTTGAATTTTCTTGTCGGAAGAGGATACATCTTGATGGTGAAAGAACTTTTCCCAGATCTGACAACTGCTACAAAGGACTACCAACAGGACAGGCGGAGAGGGACGGAAAGAGATCCGAAAGCCTCGGACGTGAGGAACCCAGGCTGAGAATCTCGAATTTGGACTTTTATTGGGAAGGGACAAAAACCGGGGATGGGAGGGAGGGAAGAAGAGACTTTTAAAAACTCTCAAGACTTTTAGGTTTGGTTAAGATGACTTTCAATTAAGATAAAATGAAAATCGATGGAAGAGAACTTAAGTCCAACTTATGAAAATCAATTTTTATTATGAAAAACGAAATAAGATGAATAAGATTGTTAAGAGGAGAAATATCAACTTGCTGTTATAATCTTGAAACTGGGATGCACGAGGGGAGGTGGGGGGAAGTCAGGGAACAAGGTTATGAAACGGGGATCTGCTGATTTTATACATGTTTTTGTCTTTTGTTTTTTTTTTGTGTATGTTTTGTCTTTATAAAAGCAGAAAATCAAATAAAATTTTTATAAAAAAAAAAAAAAATATAGGCACCTGATACCTGGCCAATTTTGAATGCTGACCCACCAGAATTGAAGTGATGCTGACACTGTTCTCGTGCTCCAGACACTCACAGTACAATCCTTTACATGCCTGCTGAGTTCAGTGTGGTTTACTCCCAGTGTATAGAACTGAAGCCTGAAAGTCTCCAAAGCATAACCTTAATAAGAATGGCTAGAACACTATTTTTAAAATGTTTTCATCCCTGGTATGTTGGTCCAAGTCACAGGACCCTGCCAGGTGCTGCTCAGCATGTGGGCTCCACCAATTCACCCTAAAAGGTCCTGCATCTGACGCTAGTGGTGACCTCTGGCTTTTAGCATCCTACCACAAGCGCCCCTTTGCATCTGACTGCAGTCATGTGCTGAAAGCTGGTGGGCGCAGAGCTAAGAATTCACCAACAGGCACTGCACACCTGTCATGAGCATCCGGCTGCTGGAGCTGGTTCTTGACACAGAGAAAAGCTGTCTGGCAGCAGCGGCACAACAGCTGTTTGCTGGTGGGATGATGTTGCTTGGCCCTTAGAAACAATGATTAAAGAGGAAAATGCAGCACCTGACATACAGGGGCTCCCACTGAGTAGGTGGGAGGTTCCTGCAGAATCTAGCAGGGGACAGAGAACAAGGGAAAACCCCAGTTCTCCTTTAAAATTAAAAAAACAGTTTCTAGACCTCGTGGGTAAGTTTGCCATTGGCAACTTGGCTGACAGTAAGAGCACGGGGCTCTGATGTTCAGAGGTGGGTCCTCTATGCACTGCCTGACTCAAGCTGCAAACTCATGCCAGCAGCTGGTGTTGCCTAGCCATGTTCCCCAACACCCATGACATCTTGCTTCCTGACATGTTGTGGTTTTTGTGCACTTTCTGCAAGCCAGATAATTGACAAATAGATTCAATTTATGCTGAACTCATCACAAAAATAAAACTACACTACTACTTGCAAAACAGCCTGAATTTCTGCCTTAACCTAAGGCAGGGGTAGCCAATGTGGTACCCTTCAATGCTGGTGGACTACAACTCCTGTCATCCCTGACCACTGGCCTGTCAGGAGCTCGTCCTACACTTGAGTAACACCCTGGCAGAGACACATGCCCAACTGGCATGTTCTCTCCCTCCTGGTCTTTCGTTCGGGAGCTTCAAAAGATTTCTTCAGCCCGAACATCACAGCGACCAATGCCAACAGACACCGGCACACTTAGGGATCTGCAGAGTGCTCGCAGTTTGCGTAACAGACCTCAGCAACTCAGCATTTTGGTTAATCTACTTTATTTACATATAAACACACACGGAGCACTGCAACATGGCTCCCTCTCTCTAGCATCAGTCAGCAAAAGGAATGAACAAAGGAAATAGTCCCACTTCATGGAACACAGTAACACAAACATCCTGTCTCGATCACTTCCCACTCTGTGGAGTCAAAACATACACCGTCATGTGAAAGACAACAATCCCATGACTGCAATCACGGAGCAGGAATTCTAACATGGCCATGCTGGCTGGGGCTGATGGGAGTTGTATTCCAGAAACTCCAGATGCTCATGGATCTGCCTCACAACAGTGCGACAAGACTTGGGAGCCACCATCAGAACTGGGCTCCTCTTCACCTGCCAGAATGGGTGGGCCAAGAGAGTGGTTTTTCACTTAATCTCTTGTAGAGAGATTTATGCCTTAATTCTTTTTATATATGAAATTGTTTACATGTTAAATTGCTTCCATTAATTTCATAGGAAGCCATTCATAAATAGAAATAAATAATCAGGCTGCAAAACCTGAATGCTGCAAAAGCAGAATTTTTGGGAGGGCAGCATAGAGATGAAATGAATGCAACTCTGTGCTGGTTCCTCTATGCTTGCTGCATTTCACAACACACAGCAGAAGGTGTGCACAGCCTCCCCTGTGAACCACTGACTTTGAGGTCATATGAAAGGATATGAAAATTTCACCTCGGATGGTGCATTTGCTGCAGGCATCCAGGAGCCCCTGCAGGAGGAAGTGAGTACAAGGCAGTAAGTGCAATTGTGGACCACTTTGGATTGCGGATAAACCCCTTCTTGCACTGATCCCAGTATTGTTACTAACCATCTGCCCTGCAGGAAAGTCGAGTGCAAAAGACCTGCAGGAGGTGCGTGGGCTACAGGGACTGAATGTACTGCATAGACACACATCTAATCCTCTGACAAGCTCATGCAGGAACAAAGGGTGAATTCACACATGCACGGTTGACGGCTGTAACTTTACAGCCACCCAGAACGTCTTCACCTTAACACCTTAACAAAACACTGGTCAAAAGGCACAGTTCAGACCTTCTTCACCCGTGGTAAGAACTACCAAATGATGTGCAGATAGATTCTGTCCATGGAACCACACACTATCAATGATATCACCTTGAGCCCTGAAAAAGTTCAGGCATAAGGATCCCCCAAGTCATCTTCCAGGGGGCTGGACTTGATTACCCTTTGGTCACCTTCCAACTAAAATAATTTTATTTTATTTTCACGTCTTCCTCCCTCCCTGGAGGATTTCACAACTCGGAGAACACCATGCCTGTCTTGTTTCAAGAAAAAATACCGTAATTTCCTGCATATCTATAGGACAAATACCGTTCCAGTGTTCTTCGGTTTTTAGACTGTTGCCACACTCAGCCAATCCTGGCCAACTGAGATGTGGACCCGCCACCTTGAACCAGTCACGCGTCACACCATTGAAAGCACACTAATAACAAGGGCAGCGCATCTAGCGCACGACATTGCCCTGCCTTATTGGAGGTGGGCGGGGAGGAGCTGGAGGGGCTCCGGGAACCCTCGACGACCCAGCCCCGCCGCCCGCCACCCCAGCGCGCAAACGGGAGAGCGGAGGTGCCTCGGTGGCTCTCTCTCTCTCTCCTGACACTCCAAGGCGGCGATCGCCATGGCGACTTGAGGCGAGGTTATAAAGCGGCTCCGGGGAGCCGGCGCCTCGAGTCGCCGTCGGGCCATGAGCCGCGCGGGGTACGAGCAGCAAGCCATGCTGCGGCCGCGGGACCTGGGCCCGGGGGCGTCGACGCGCACCTTCCTGGAGGCCATGAGCGCGGGCCGCCTGCACCTGGCGCGCTTCGTGCTGGACGCCGTGGACGGCACCATCGTGGACTGCCGAGCCGACCGCGGGCGCACGCCGCTCATGCACGCCGTGGCGCTCAAGGACCCCGCGTGGCGAGTGGCCTTCGCCCGGCTGCTGCTGGAGCGCCGCGCCGCCGTCGACCTGCGCGACGACGCCGGGCGGAGCGCGCTGAGCCTGGCCTGCGAGCGGGGCTACCTGGACGTCACCAAGCTGCTGGTCCAGTACGGCGCCGACCCGGACGCGGCCGACTCGCGAGGCTGGAACCCGCTCATGTACGCCGCCTGGCAGGGCCGCGCGCCCGTCGTCGAGTGGCTGCTGCGCTCCTTCCGACGCCTCGGCCTCTGCCTCGAGCGCGCCGACCGCGCCGGCCGCACCGCGCTGCAGCTGGCCGCCAGCGAGGGCCACGGGCGCTGCGTGCGGGCGCTGCGGGCCTCCGGAGCCTTGATCCTCGAGCTGCCCGAGCCGGCGGCGGCGTCCCCCGGCGACGGCTCGACGGCCCCTCGGTCGCCTCGCAGGGACGGCGGCGCCCACAGGCGGGAGCAGGACGACGAGGAGGAGGAGGAGGAGCGGGGCCCAGACGCCGCCGCAGCGCAGCCCGGCTCCGAGGCGGGGAAAGGGGGCGCCTCGCTGCGAGGCCGCCCGCTGATCCGCAGGGCCACGGCGCCCGACTGCCAGAGCCTGCTCGGCTACTAGGCGGCGAGGGCGGGAAGCGCGCGCTGCTCTCGGCTCCGGCTGCGCGTCCACTTGGCGCGGCCAGCTCCCGCTTCGCCTCGCAGCCGTTGCTTCTGCCCGCGGATCCAGCCTTGGTCGTCGTGTTCCCGACGTGCCGGCCGCTTCGTCAGTGACCATTTGGACCATTGCATCGTTGCCCGCGGGCGGATTCGGAGCGCCTCCGCACATCCCGAGGCTCTCCCGATTTGAACAGCACCCGGGAAGCGCAGGTGTTAGCTTTTATTTAGTTGAAACAAGTAGCAATGTGCACTGTAATAAGGTGCGATGAATTGTTATTTACTTCTTTCTCTTGTCAAGAATGTTCTAGAATGATTGGGCATAAGGGTCTCGTCGATTTCAGCAAGAGGGTCGAAGTGTATTTCCTTGAAAATCAACCTAAAAGCACAAAATGTCATTGTCACCTACACATTCATCAGTTTCCGTTGCCCGACTGGAGTGTTGTTGCCAGAGCTATCTTTGCCCATCTCAAGAATTTATGTACCGTTTTGGGGCAAATCTTGCAAAATGTGCGGGTGGAAAATCTCAGGAGCCTCATCCATGGATGGCAAAGTAGCATTTTGTCAAACCCTAATATCTTCCAGCTATGAAAAAAAATTGGTAACCTATCGCTGTATAGTATACAGAGAACAGTCAAGTAAAACTAACGGTGAACCTGGCTAAAAGTGCTGAAAGAGTTCAGGGCACCACAGCAAAATAAAAATTTTGCATTTTCCGAGTATGCTTCTTTCTGTAATGGGTGAAATGGATCAGTGGTCATTTTGGTAAAGAACAAGGGTGTCTATATGATGTCCAGATTGCTACATTTTCATGGCAGTTTCTGTAAGGGCTTCTGAAGATTTTGCACCATGTCTGATTCTTAGGAGATGTTTTCTTGTCCACTTATATCTGTGTGGATTTCTTTATCTAAATGGAATTGCACTCCTGTACATTGTCTTTGAATCCAGCAAACAAGCCTTAATAAGATAGAAATTTATTTGTAACTAGATGCCGCATTTGCCTGAAATGATTTCAGTGGGGTGTGTTGGGATGTTTGTGGCCTTTCACTTTTTGCGGCATTTTTTGTTCAAGTTTTATTTATTTAGTGACATTACATGAACTCTGAAAGTAACAGGGAAGGACAAACAAGGTGTGAAGTGGGAGTTGTGTGATCAGATCAGCTGTTATTTAGCCACAGAGGGGGAAAATGATAAGGGGTCATGTTGTCCCTGTCTCCCCAGCTCCCTTCTGTGACTAAGGTAAAGGGAAGGTAAAGTTAAGGGAAGGTAAAGGACCTCTGGGCAGTTAAGTCCAGTCAACGGCAACTCTGGGGTTGCGGCGCTCATCTCACTTTCAGGCCAAGGGAGCCAGTGCTTGTCCACAGACAGCTTTCCGGGTCATGCGGCCAGCATGACTAAACCGCTTCTGGCGCAACGGGACACCGTGACGGAAACCAGAGCGCACGGAAACGCTGGTGCGCTTTTGAACTGTGAGGTTGGCAGAAGCAGAGACAGAGCAACAGGAGCTCACCCCATTGCGGGGATTTGAACCGCCAACCTTCAAATTGGCAAGCCCAAGAGGCTCAGTGATTTAGACCACATCGCCACCCGCATCCCAGTTTCAACTGGATGAGTTATTGGAACACGTTGTTGGTGTTATTGCTTTATTGACATGTTTATTTTTTTGTTAGTTAATAGTATATTATTTATTTGGTGGTTGTTAATGTATTTTGATATTTATTTGCTGTTGTTGTTGTGGAGGGTTAACCCACCTTCCCTGGTATAACAACCCCAATCCAAATTCTGTTTCTTCAAACAGCTTTTAACAAAAGAAAATTACATTGGGGGATCCAATCCTGGATTTCTCAGGCCCACTGAATTCAACAGTACTCATTTCTGGTTAGACATGGTTTAGCATTGCAGCCTTACTGTCTGGCAGCAGCTCTCCTGGGCTCTCAGGGAGGGGTCTGTCTGCTACATCACTTGCTACCTGGTTTTTTGTTTTTGTTTTTTGAGATGTCAGATTTAAACTGGGATTGATTTTTTATTGTCAAAACTTTAAAAACACACACGTGGTGGTTAAGTTTCTGAAGACAGGAGGGCAGTGCACTTGAAAAGCACATACTAACTTGGAAAATTATTAGCAAGTTTAGATAATAGTGCGTGATCATTTTGTTTCATTTTCCTTTCATAACATCTTTGTAAATTGTAGTAGTACGGTTTTCCACTTTAGAAATAGAGTTGAAGCTGCATTGGTGTCCATCTGATGAGTCTGCAGCTGATCCCCGTCTATGAATTTCTTAGAGCCAGGATTCTAGGAGTTGCATTTTAGTAGCATCGACTGCACAATTCAGAAACACATTCTAAAGCTTTGATCCAGGCCATTAAAAGGGACACTGACTGCAGAATGCCTTGTGTAGCAATAACACAATGTCAGTTCCATACCCACTGTCTAACATACTGGTTTCATTTACTGGCAGATGCTCTCACTTGTATGCATTCAGTGTTGAACTTCCAGTGTCTATGAAGACCGTGACTTGTTCCTTTTGTTTCTTTTTTTTAAAAGCACATTGTGTTTACAGCAGGATGGACTCAGAATTTTCTTCTTTCAAATGTTGGTTTGTTCTGGTAAAGGGTTATGTAGCTTATCAAGCTGACCTTCTACAGAATGCAATAAAACTAGTTTCTTGCTGATTGTATGGCTCTTTCTTTCTAAGGAATCCATTGCTGGGTAAACATTTTCCCCTGTCTACTTTGGTGGATTAATATTCCACAGCCTTTAAATGTGTTGTAGGAATTTGTGATTTTTTTCTTCAGCATTTCAGTGCAAATTTCTCCTAATAAACATATTTTGGTCTGCACTTTTGACTAAGGTGCACATTTCTGCAAGCAATTTCTTGTAAGACGCATTTATGTTATTTTTCAGCACACTCATTTTTATGCACTTTTATACAGATTGTTTAATTGGAGAACTGTATTGCAAAATTTGGATAGGGGCAAATTTCAAAGGATGGCTGTGTTCTGGTCTTCATACCGTTTCAGAAAGTGCAAATTTGGCTCTAAAAGCTCCAATTAAACAATCTGTACAAAAGTTGGATTTTGTAGTTTAAATTCAAACTTTTATGTTTCTGTACAAATGATTTATAGGCACATTCTAGTAAGGTAGTTCTGTGACGAAGGCCACTGAAAACAAAGGAGTTCCACTGATTTACATGGTGTTTGTCTTGAAATGCTTTTGCTAGGTTGTGCTCTGTGTTTTTTCTGTGTTTGTGCAGCCAGAGAAGCTTCTTGGCATCTGACACATCTTCAGAAGAATAAGAGAACATTGAGTTACAGAAACTTGTATTTTGTGGTTGTTAACTGCTGGCGGGTGGGGTGGGGATTTTCCCTTAAAAAAGCTGCATGCTCTTTTTAAAGTAGTGCTGCTTCTATGTATTGTTCCAATTAAAAACAAACAAATAGATCTTCAGGATCTATAATGGAGTGAGGCATCTACAGAACCTATATTCCCTTGCCTCCAGAGTAAAACAATAGGATCATACCTCGGTCCAGGGGGCCCTTTTTTGAAGATCCCTGTCCTTTCAAATGGCAGGGCTGCACCTGTGCCTCATTGCTGCCATCCACTTCCATAATAAAGCACTATTGGCCAAATGGACTTCACACACCCCTCACTGCCTTGTTGGCCATTCTTGACTGAAGCTACATGGAACTTATTTGGGCCACTGATTTGTCTGTCAAGTTTATAGGCCTGAAACTTTTCTGTGGCAAGTTTTTGAGTTAGGAACTCTGTGGAGCACTTTGGAATAAGGATAAACGCATTTTTCAAAAACATTTCAACATTGCAATGGGTTTATGAATAATCAAAATTGTGTTTTAATTTAAAACAACAAATGCAAACAACTCACGGAAAGGAGAAATATTTGTTTCAGATAATTAAGTTAAAAAGAAGGAAGGAAGAAACCTGGGAGTTTTTTTGCACAGGATTCCTGGAACATACAGACATATTTTACAACAAGCTCTCCCCACAATATTTCAAGTTTTTTGTTGTTGCTGTTTTTACACGTTTTCATATGTTTACCACTTGGTGGATTGTGTAAGGGCAGATTCTGAGGCAGTAGAAGTGACACCTGACCCCCCCTCCAACCTACCCCTCCCCACTTTCCATAACTCCTGCCCAAATGTATCACAAAACTGAATTCCAGTTATGTTACAACTATGCTCCACACAGTAACACACATAATACAACCTAAACTAATCGGTGCCAACTGTTCTGGACATTACACAGATAAGACTTAACCATATAAAATTTCTGCATCAACCTTAGATAAGAATATTAGAAGTGGTCCACCTACATCCAGGAGATTATAGAACCATGAGCACACATTTAAACTCTGTTCCATGCATTTCCCCTATTCTCAACAACATAGGAGGTAGGTAGAGTCTTAACATTCTCACTGGCAAAACAAACATTGTTCAGTGGAATGGGAGAGCTTCAACGTTTTATTGACCTTGCTACAGAATTCAGAGCTGGTGAAAAACACCACCCAGCAGCTGCCTCAAGGCCGTATCCTTGGTCAAGTCCAGTGTACTTAGAGGGGCCTTGATAGGAGCAAACTGAAGTTCTTATCGGGACAACCCTTGTGCTGCCTTCTACTTCTGGTCTTCGCTGGAGAAGGCACTACGTTTACATGCCGTGGAGTTTCAAGCATCAGGTTCCAGCATCTCTGGAGAAATGTCTGCCATGAAGCGCTGCTTGCCAGCTGGTGTAAGATTGTGAAATGACAGACCATTCTTAAGGTTTGAAAAGCCACAGGCCCCATATTAGTCCCGACTGTAGAAAGGAAGAAAGAACGGGGGAAATGATTTGAAAGGGAACAAGGTAGAAGAGTCTTTTGTAACAGGATCAAGTAGCCCATACATGAGATGAGATGATTGTTCTAGTGAAGCCCATTGCCAAGCTTATGCCATCCAGATGATTTGGACCCCAACTCTCATCAGCCCCAGCCATCACAATCCAAATCATCTAAAGGGCACCAAGTTGGAGAAGCCTGTTTTCAGGTTAAAGTAAGGATGTCTACCTTCAAATGTGTTTTAAAGAACAAATACCATCCTGCGAGAGGAATGTTGGTCCAGTGCAGTCAGTAGATGAAGTCTCTGGAGGTTTGCAGGTATGTACAAATCAAGTGGCGAGAATCTTCTTACAGACATCAAACATACTCCTGAGATAGGAACTATCCCAGAAGCTTCACAATATATATATATATTAAGACTTGTAGGAGTCCAACTTTTGATTGTCTTCAGCAATGAAAAAGAGAAAAAGGTAAACATTAAAAAGCAGCTAAAGATGGTGAAAATCCCCTCTCGCATTCTCGGAAAGGACGCTGACAAGTTCCAAGCCATGTTTGCGGGGCCAGGCTGCCCTCGATCTGATAACTCCAAGAGAAAGACTGCATTCGAGCACTATGATATACTAGGTGCTTCTTAAGTTTGGGGTCAGCAGGTGGAGGTCCGTTTCCTGTACCGCTGAATAAGGGGCACCAGGCACTCTGGAAGTCCCGTCTGAAGCAAAAAGGGGTGATCAAGGAGTTCTTGGGCTGTTGCTCGCTCCAACGGGTCTCGTGTTAACATCCGTTCCAAGAAGTCTCTTAAAACTGGAGACGTCTGTGAAAACAGAACAATTCAGATAAGCCATTTCAGGGCAGGAGGGTGGATGAAGGGCAGTATACACATTTAATAAATAACCAGTAGTAGTACTTACTTAAGTACTTACTTAGTAGTAGTACTTACTTAGTACTTACTTAGTAGTACTTAAGGGACGCGGGTGGCGCTGTGGGTAAAAGCCTCAGCGCCTAGGGCTTGCCGATCGAAAGGTCGGCGGTTCGAATCCCCGCGGCGGGGTGCGCTCCCGCTGCTCGGTCTCAGCGCCTGCCAACCTAGCAGTTCGGAAGCACCCCCGGGTGCAAGTAGATAAATAGGGACCGCTTACTGGCAGGAAGGTAAACGGCGTTCCGTGTGCTGCGCTGGCTCGCCAGATGCAGCTTGTCACGCTGCCCACGTGACCCAGAAGTGTCTTCGGACAGCGCTGGCCCCCGGCCTCTTGAATGAGATGGGCACACAACCCCAGAGTCTGTCAAGACTGGCCCGTATGGGCAGGGGTACCTTTACCTTTACCTTTTAGTAGTACTTAAGGACATATTTAAATATACAGACTCTGCAAATGATGCCTGTGTGGAGAAAGCCCCCCCCCCGTGTTGTTTCAGGTGATCGTGGAGAACTCTTTGCTCCATTGCTACTTGACTAAAATGTGATTGATAACATGATCTAAGCAAAAAGTGGAACCAATGGGCTCAGGAAGCATTTTACTAGCAGC